AGGCCATGAGACCGAGCATCCTCTGAAATCGCTTGACGGGGGCGCGCGCACCCGCTCTGAACGATGTTGCAAGGCGCCGAATAGTGAGCGCGCGCTCTGATGAGAGGCGTGCTGTCATCTGCACCGAGTCTAGCACTATTCCCAAAAAAGAAAGATTCTGGCTGGGGGATAGCATGCTCTTTGCAAAATTGATTTTTAGACCTAGGCACTCTAGATGACTGATAATTCAAGACCTGTGTGTCACTAACTGGCTCTCAGATTGTGCTAGTATTAGCCAATCGTCGAGATAATTTAGTATTTGCACTCCCCGCTGTCTCAGGGGGGAAAGTGCTGCATCCATACATTTCGTAAATGTACGGGGTGCCAGTGACAGGCCGAATGGTAGTACTGTGTACTGGTATGACTGTCCCTCGAAAGCGAATTTCAGAAATGGCCTGTGATGAGGCGCTATTGGAATGTGAAAGTAAGCGTCTTTCAGATCCACTGACAGAAACCAATCCCCCGGGCGAACTTGCGCGAGGATATGCTTGGTTGTTAACATTCTGAACGAGCGAATCATTAAAGCTTTGTTCAGATGTCTGAGATCTAGGATGGGGCAGAGACCGCCATCCTTTTTCGGGACGAGAAAATAGCGGCTGTAAAAACCTGCCTCGCTCATAGAGGGGGGCACTGTTTCTATAGCGCCTTTCTCTATCAGTTTGAGCATCTCGGTGCGTAGAACATGTGAAACATCTTTTCTCACTTTCGTCTCTACCACTGCTGTGAAGCGGGGCGGTCTGCGAGCGAATTGGAGCGAGTAACCGTGTTTTATTATGTTCAAAACCCATTTCGGCATGTCGGGGATATTTTCCCAAGCTTTCGCTCGCACAGATATGGGCTGAATGCTGGCCGGGGGCGTGTCGCAGTGACGTATGGCCCCCGCCAGCGAATCGTTCTGTGTAAATACCGAGCTCACAGCTGTCAGCGGCGCGGGCGCGCGCTGAGCAGCTTTGTTGAATGACGAGTGCAGGGGTGCGTGTGAGATTACAGGCACGCTCGCTGTAATGCTCACAGAGTGAGATGGGGAAATGTTTAACACTGTGTGTATAGTGCTTATGGGTGGGGGTGCATAGACTGTGGTAGGCACGCGCGCCACTTTCATAAAACTTCCCGCTCGTGGCGGGAGGTTTTTGGCCATATAAACAGTGTTTGTGAGATGAGGTGCGTGCATAACAGCGGGCACACGCGCTACTCTTATACAACTTCCCGCTTTTACTGGGGAAGTGTTTATAACTGTGGGAACAGTGCTTGTGTGTAGTGGTGCATACGTAACAGTTGGCACACAATCTACATTTATGGGGCGTCCAGCCTGAGCTGGGAAAACATTTGGCACTGAGTTTACAGTTTTGATATGTGGGAATGCGCACTTTGGTGTGGACACGTGACCCTTTAATTACACAGGCAGAAAATAGCTCTTTATGTGATTTCTGTGTGTCGCCGTAAAAACGGCGTTTGTTTGCAGGTGGGCGAGCTGTGTGGCTGGCACATTGGCTGCTGTCTAGACATTCCCATCCGCCTGTGAGGGGACTGGGTAATGCTTTAAACGTTTTGGAGAGAACGGTCCGGCTCTTGCGAGACACGCACTCTCCCTTTTCCTCCCTGTAGCTAGGAGGACTTACGAGGCTCTGGGTTCAGCACAATCCTGGGCCGAGGTCCCCGTCGCTCGGGCGGCTGTTTCCTGTTGGCGGAGCGCGAGCGGCGTCGAAAATCCGTTTCAGGTTTGGGCTGAGAAACGGGGGGCGCCGTCTTAGCTCGCTGCTGCTGAGGCGGCCGTTGGCGGCTCTGCGATGAGCTAGATCGCTTGGGCAGGAAGTGACGCATAGCCTGTGAGTCCTTACGGGCTTCGGTGAAGCGCTCGGCGAACTCCTTCACCGCTGGTCCAAACAGGCCGCTTTGGGAGATAGGCGCGTCGAGAAATGACGCCTTATCTGCATCCTTCATTTCTGTTAGCGTCAGCCACAGATGGCGCTCAAGGACAGTCAGGTTAGCCATAGCACGGCCGATGGATTGGGCGGTGGCTTTTGTAGCTCGCAGCGCTATGTCAGTGGCGCTGCGTAGGTCCTTAAATGCCTCAGGATCGGGTCCAGACTCGTCCATACTGCGGAGAAGTTTGGCTTGAAAAACCTGGAGGACAGCCATAGAGTGAAGCGCTGATGCAGCTTGGCCGGCGGCGGCGTATGCGCGACCGGCGAGAGCTGAAGTAGATCGGCAAGGCTTCGAGGGATGAGAAGCTTTAGCTTTCCATCCAGCGTTGGAGGGTGGACACAGATGATTGGCCACAGCTTCCTCGAGGGGCGGAGTCCCCTCATAGCCTCTTTCTTTCGCGCCGTCCACAGAGGAGAGCGACAAAGAAAAAGAAGGCTTCAGGCGAGCGGAGTGCGGGGCTTTCCACGACTTAGTGAGTTCGTCGTGAACTTCCGGGAAGAAGGGGGAGGGTCTTTGTCGAGGGGCCTGTCGGCGCCCCTGCAGGAACCACTCGTCCAGTCGGCTGCGGGCGGGTTCTTCCGGGGAAGACCAATCGAGCCCGAGGTCTTCCACGGCCTTAGAGAGAATGCGGACGATCTCAGAGTCCATGCTGGAGCCCGCGCTCGTGCCCGCTAATGTCGATGGCGCGGGGTCGAAGGACGAGCCCGGCCAATAGTCGGATGCAGCATCACAGGAAAAACTGTCATCCTTATCATCGTCATCCCCTGACGCGCCAAACGAGACGAGCCCCATCGCTCCGCTGGAGGGGTGCTGGTCCGCCTGTGTGAACTGGACTGGCGGCGGGGAGTCTTCGGGTGGTGGTGAAGCACGCGGGGATTGGCCCGGCGTGACATCACTGCAAACCGCGTGCTCCGGCGGCCTCTGTGAGCGGCGTTTTTTCTTTCGCGGCTCGACTAGAGGAGATGGCAGCACGGAAGAGGTGGGCTCTTTCGCGGTGAAAACGGCGAAGCGAGCGCGCAGCTCGGTGAGGCCCAGGGCGTCACACTCGCGACATCCGCCTCGAGTAAGGGCAGCCTCTGCGTGGTCCGGTCCCAAGCAGCGGGCGCAGATGATGTGACGATCCCCGTCCTGAAGAGGGCCTCGACACGAGGCGCAGGAAGGCATTTGAAACAACGCCTTGGAAATTTGACTCTTTTAGAAAAAGTGTCGCTGGGGGCGAACACTGATAGCTTTGTAAAAGGATATAGATGGTGCGCGCCGGATGGCTTAGCAGAAGGGTGATCGAAGGCGGCTGAAGGCGCCGGCGTCCTCGAAGCAGTCCTGCTGTAGGCTTGTCGACGGCGGCGGCGAAAAGACTCCAACAAATCCGGAGGATCCAGCGAAGAGAAGGTTCTTTGCTGAAGGAGATTAAATCTAAAGAACTCAGACGACGGGGCGCCCAATATATAGCCCTTGGCCACGCCCATCTTGGCGGGCTCTGACGCGCGTGGGCGCGAAGCACGCTCATTGGAAGCGGGTTCAGAGTCGCCCCGTCATTGGTTCGTGCAAGTTGCCGCAGCACAGCCAATGACCGAGCTGCCTCGCTCATTGCTGTATGCTGTGCAGCTGCAATGCGTTTTACATAAAGACTTCAATATTTCTCGAGAAAAGGAGTTTTCCCATAGCGTAAAGCTATTACGCAATAGGAGGAACCTCTCGAAAGGGAACATATTTTTGCTAGCCTAATGTTACCTGCTGCAAAATTACACCATTTGTACAAGACAAGTAGAGCTATTTTTATGCAGTGTAATTTATTACTTTACCACTATCTGGTAATTTTCTTAACCTTCTCTTCCTTTCTCTTCTTTCTTTTCTGGCTTCCTGAAGCATAATTCCGCTTCATGATAACTCCCGAGGAGGTTTGTATTATGCCGGCAGCAGAGATCGCGTGGTTGGCTGGCTGTTGTCAGCGACTACTGAGGGGGCCCCCTTGAGGGGGATTCCGATAACAGTATCATTGCACTTTACTGCATTGACTATCAAAGGGGCGCTCACAGTTTGTCGTTGCATTTTATTCTTAAACAGTCGTTGTCTTGGGGCCCCAGTCCAGCTCGGGGCCCCAAGCAATTGCTTGGTTTGCTTGTCCTGTTCCGACGGGCCTACCGGTAATGCGTGTTGCAGTAGCGTCGTCATATCTGACTGCAACATGACATATAGCCTATATAACACGCTCTCACACGTTCATTTTTTAGCATTTTTGGGAGGAGTAAAATTTACATATGTGGTTTCAACAACCAGATGCATTTACACTTGTCCAGTTTCATCTGGAATGCGGCCCAGATCACCTCCTGTTGTGGTGTGAGCGATCGGATTCAAATCCGTCTCGAGTGCGTTTCGGAGGGCATTTACACCTGGTCTTTTCACGATCGGATAGCTATCCGATCACAGAAAACGCATGAAGTGGCAGGTGTAAACAGCCCAAACTGTGTAGCAGTACAAGTATTTTTTTGTCTTACTGCTACACAGTCAGTAGCCTACACAACAAAAAATGACATGAAGGCACATGAAACAAGGCACACAGACAAGACAAAACAGGATGTTAATGCTAAAGTAGAAGTTTTCTTGATAATCTTATCATGTTTACTGTGCCTAGATAGCAACTTCATTTTTGGGTTTATATGATAAACAGGTTTGAAAGTGCAAAATACCCTATGTTTTCCCCTTTTTTCAAAATGGGCACCCTTAGCATCATTTTTCTCAAAAACTGCAAGGTTGTGTGCGGAGAACTTTTTTCTAAGAAATCTCTATATATTTCTGATGTTAAATATAAAAAAATTGGGTAGTGCCCCACATGGTGGAACGAAACCCTATTTCTAGGCCTCTTTTAGGCTACCGACAGCGGCCTATGTCAGGGCTCTGTCACGAAACCAAGAAATAGACTAGACAGAAGTGACAGAACCCTGACAATATTATGCAGTATTATGCATATCAGACCAGATATGTGTATGTTAGTGCACTTGTTAAGACAAAAGACTGATTTGTGCATGTCTCAACAGGTTTCAGCATCGACAACTCTCATGGTTTTAATGTGGGGACTTCTGGAGCTAAGATCTTCTCAGGGTCGGCAGAAGAACAGTTTGGTTACTCTGTACAACAGTTCAGCAACGGTCAAGGAAAATGGTAAGATTTGTAAAATATAATGGGAATTGCATGCTATTTGTTTTATTTAATTATCGTGAGAATTGTGTTTGTCCCTATGGTGGATTTAGTTGTATTTGAGAATCGAGCTCTTTATTTTCCAAACACATACTCTAAGGAACGTTTTACTACTAACATGAAAAACTATATCCCATTTCTCAAGTTTTCTTGGATTTTAAGGGGAGTCACATGACCGCAACAGGCCTGTGACATGCTTAGGGCCCTATGAAATCCGTTTAATCTTTTCTCAAATCCCCCTTTTATTTATTTATTTTCCAAATTCCATTTTTCTTCTTCTTCTGGAATCAGGTTTTTTTTTTTTTTTACTTAAATGGAATTTTTGTAATCAAAAAGCATGTTTAATTAATTTATATCGTGAAACTTAAACAATTCATCAACATTTTCACAAAAAAATCTAAATATTCAGTTCTATTTTTTTATTATTATTATTTATTTCTGGATTCAGTTTTTTTCTGGACTTCAATTTTAGTAATAAAAAAACCGTGTAATTAATTTAAATATTGAAACCTTTTTTCAACAATTTATGGATTTGGGGGGGGGGGTTCCATTAAAAATTTTCTGGATTAAATTTTTATTGGTTTAATTACATTTTAATAATCAAAATTCATGTCTAATCAATTGAATTCTTAAAAATGTAACAATAAAATAACTTATTGAACTTTTACAATAATAGAGCCCTGAAATGTTTTATTTTTTCAGAAATTCTTGTGTTGTGTGTTTGAAATCTGGATTCAGGATTTAATTATCAACTGTGGTAATTAAATGAAGGCATAACGCATTAACAATTTAAATAATCTTTTAAAATATAATCAAATGAAAAATAAACAATTCCTTTGGCAAGCACAGGAGAGGTTTACTTCAAAAGCCCTACTTTTGAATTTATTCATCCAAAAGTTTCATCCAAATAGATTCCGCATTTTTCACATTGCGGAAAACACAGGGCCATTTCTGCTGCACTGATGTATGTATACTTGCACACACACACTCTGATAGCTGATGGCTCTTTTCCCCTGCAGTTTCACTCCACTCAATATACAGCACACACACACACTTCCTGTGCTCATTAAATTTGCCTGCATCCGGGAGATCGCAATAATACTTTAGAATCGGCAGGGAAATGAAGGGTTTCCTCATTCCCAGATAATAGCTACTAACACATGATCTAAAACAACGGCAATAAGTCACACAATTGTTGGTACTATACACAACTTTTCATCTAAAACACAAAGAAAAGTTTCATCCAAACTGTGCACAACCTCCCTAACACTATATTGACTGCTGGGTCACTGTATAATTTGTTGTGGCCATGTTATAGTTCGCTTATGGTCACCTTCACCGTCTAGACAAGCTTTATGAGAGTATTTCTTAACGCTCCCCGTGTTGTGCAACAGGTCAGATGAGGCACTTCCTGCTCAAGTGTGGGCTGCAGCTGCATTGGGAGGTTTTGGTGACATCATGTTTGTTAGATGGTTCATGCTTTTGTGAATGCTGCTGATGTCATCATTCTCACTGTGAGTCCAGCATTAGCTCCGTCTGACTGATCTGGGTTGGCCTCCCAAACACATTAGAGACCCCTAAAAGACATTTCCATAGACAATGAGTCATTATTACCCAGAGTCCGTTATTCGGATGTACTTACTTTGAATATAATACGTCAGTTTCTAAAAACCCCTGAACTTTCCTTATTTAGAATCCTATTACTTTTCTCATTAGAAGCACAAATTCATTTTTTTGTTGTTGTTGTTGTGAGAACTATTAATTGTGGTAGATAAACTATGATCCTAGCATAAGTAGGTGGTCAGCTGCTTCAAATGTCTCTTAAAATGCAGATTTTTGGCCTGTCCAACATTACCACCTAACTGCATACAATAACAGTTACAATCTTACAACAATGTTCAACTTTTGATATAATCTCCTGAGTTGATATTCATAAAACTATTAATAATTATTAACTCTTTTTTTTAACCAAAAACATATTTAGCTAAAAACTTAAATCGCAACACTCATTAAGGAACATGGCTTGACCAAAAGTAAGTGGCATTCCATTTTTTTGTATAATTTATCAAACATTTATCAATAACTAAAAAATAATTACTATTCTCAAATTAGCTATCCCCTACTGAGTAATAGCATAATTTAGTCTAAATTTACAATTCTGTTATCTTTTTTTTATTTATAAATGTTGTGTTTCATTTTAATGTTTAATTGAAAAAAATAACATGTATATTATGTGTTATTTTAGTATATTTTTGTATTGTCCGTTTTATTTTCATTTTAAAGTTTAGAAATGTTGTTGTGTTTTTGTAATTAGTTTTAGTTATTTTAGTAGTGCAAGGCAACTAGCTGAAAAAAAAAAAGTTTAAGTGTATTTATATTTTATTTTTTAAATACACTTAAACTTGGGGTGGTTTACACAACAATGATGTACTAAAAACGGAAAGGTTTTTCCTTTGCGTTTTTCTTGTACAGACCACAACATTGTCAAAACGTTGCCCGTTCACACAGATCCACGAAAACAACTAAAAATGCTGTGTTATTCATGCCAGGCCAGTAGATGGCGATATCACTTCGTAAACACGTCATACGCGTTCTCATGATATCACCAAGGGGGTAATCCATCGACCGGAAGTTGAAGCCGGCCGGGTGCCGCCATGTTGTAGCAGAACTTCACTTGCGTTAGCATTTCCATTGACTCCCATTCATTTTGGCGTCACTTTGACAGCGAATAACTTTACATCTGAGGCGTTTAAAGACTCCATTTGTCCATTATTTATTTCTAAAGAAACACGACAATGTATAAAAGGCTCCATTACCTTCTATGTTACATTATGGCCCCGTAGAAACAGATATTGTAAGGCTAACGATTGCGTCATAACCACTCGACTCTCTGTCGCGCTGTACAGAAATTACCGCACAGACAGTAGGAGAAGCTCGCAGGCAATCGGGGGGACGTCCCGTCAAGGGAGAAGCCCATAGATAATGAGTCCATAAAGGCAACGGAATACTTACTCCTGCTCACTCGCGATAAAGGACTCTTTGCTCAAGTTCCCCGTCTCTGCAAGATTAACGTTGGCAATTTTCACGCACAGCTACTAGAAGATTTACGTCTGTCAGACAGGTTGCTCACGTCATCAAGCTTAGTTTGAGTCGGTTTGAGTCTGCGCGTCAGGAACGGAAGTGCTCAAAAATCGCTAGAAATGGGCTTCAACTGTCTCAACTGAGTTCCAATGAGATGGCTCTGTCCACTTCTTATACTGTCTATGGATATCACAGTTTTCACAAATTTGTGGTTTACACCAGAGAATGTCTAATAGTTTACACGCTAACAATAACGGTATTCTTTTCAAAAACTTCCAAGTTGAAACACATTTTTGTTTTTGTGTTTTCAGGCCACCAAAACGCCGTTGTTGTGTAAATGAACGGCCAAAAGACATAAAAAGTTTTAGTTTATTAAACGGCCTTACTTTATTTTAGCTAGTTGCCAGATCAACATTTCTCGGTCTCATTTAGTTTAACTTGATGTAATTTTGTTTAAATTTATTTTATTTTAGGTATTGCGGAATTGTTTTTCAATGGTATATTTGTTGAATTGTTTATATATATAAATATATATATATATATATATATATATATATATATATATTTTTTTTTTTTTAATATATTTTTTATTATTAATTTTTTTTTTTTTTTTTTTTTTTTACAGTCAAACATACATACAAACCAACATAGTGCAGCAGTGAGCAATCTTGTAAATCCATAATTCCAGAAGTGACTTAAAAGTGATTTAAGTGTTTGATCTAAGTGTGTATGTGAGCGGGTGTGCGTGTGGGTATGTGTGTGTATGCGTAAACAAAGTAACCATTTATTATCTATTACCATTGTCATTACCATCACCACCCCACTCCCCACTACCACCATACTGCCAATATTGTGTTTAGGGATGGGACGATTACCGGTTTCACGATAAACCACGATAAAATGGCCTGGCGGTTAGTATTATCGTTTAAAATTTAATTATCATAAAAACCGTGTTTGATTATCGTGATTTTGAAAACTCGCGGTAAATCCTGTCCAGCCAGAATCAGTCTGACTCAGGCGCGACGCGAGCAGGCGCGCAGATGCAATGTTGTTTTTTTGCGCGAGAAGACATGGCGGAAGGCAGTGACAGCGCACGGGAGATTTTTCAGCCATCCAAGAGGACAAAATCGGAGGTATGGTCGTATTTTGGCTATTACAAGAGTCCCGAGGGCAATTTAATCGAGGATGGGCAGCCTGTCTGCAAATCTTGCAAGAGGAAAGTCGCTGCAAAAGGGGGAAACACGTCAAATCTGCTAAGTCATCTAACGTTACGTGACAACCACCCACTGAGTTAATTTTTTACCTTAATAGCACAACTAACTTGGGCAAATAATTAGACAAAAAATGTATTGGAGATGAATTATTTCATTATCTCACTTGTAATTATTGCAAAGCTTCCGCGAAGAGAAAAGTTTTACAGCAAGTGGATTTGAGCCAAGACGAACGAACATATTCAAACTATTAAGGGTGACATTTAAGGGATAATGTATTGTATTCATTCATAGTAAACTTATTACAGTTTTATTTTTTACCACAGAAATAATTTCAGGGACATGAAATATTGAATTGTGATTAACTTAATGTTTTTAAATCTTGCCGGTTTATAAATCCATTATACAAGTTACAGTGTCCAAATCAATCGTAAAGTAAATGTGATCACTTCAACAATATTGTAGTAGTATTAATACTAAATTACTCTGATTTAATTTTCAATACAATCAAAACTGAGACGCAAGACATACACATTTGAATGAAACCAGAGATTGCGTCCACGGTGATCCGAGACATGGATGTGCGCTGTGTAGTGCGTTGCTATTTACAACAGTCATTATAAGTATTCCAGTAGTTTAGTCACCCTGACCCAACCAACATATTTTGTTCATTTTAAGTGTGTGTGCGTGCGTGCGTGTGAGTGTGTGTGAGAGAGAGAAAGCGATTTATTATTTATTAATAATAATAATATTCAGTCATACACACATCCATAAGTATTATTATCATTATTAATGATAGGGTTTAATGACGGGTTCATTAAAACCTGCACTAGGAAAACTTATACCTCTCACTCTCAGGGCTCCATGTTAATGTTAATATAATGTTTATGCTTAAAAAAGTGCATATAGCTGCTAGCCTGCTAATTGTATTTTTTTGTTTGTTGATTTTCAAATGTTTTCAGGGTGAGCATCAGTTCTTTTTGAACATTTCCATCTCATTTTAACAAAACCGTGATAATATTGATAATCGTGATAACTTTGGTCACTATAATCGTGATATGAAATTTTCATACCGTCCCATCCCTAATTGTGTTGGTCGATTTTTATTTCCATCCTTCCTCCTATGTAACAATTGCCATTGTCAATCCTGCACAAAGTAAAAGATGATATAAGATAACCTTCCCCCACATCTCATCAGTCCCTATCTTTTCCTAATTATTATTGTTATTATTTTTATTTTTTTGTGTTATGTGCAATGTCTAAGGTGCATTAAAAGAGGGAGTACAGTGCGAGAGTGTCTCAAATTGGGACAGAGATGCTGTCCCGTTGAAACCACTTCTCGCCTGTCTTGCCTGCCTTGGTGTTTGTTAGGTTTTCCATACATATTCCTTTTTTTTTCTTTTTTTTTTATTCCATGTTGTGTTTTTTTTTTTGCTGTTGTGCAATGTGTCTGTTTAACGAGGACTGTTTTTTCTGTCTCAGGATGGGAAGTGAGTGAGTTTGTGTGTCAGTGTTTGAGGAATGCTGTGTATAGTCTAGAGCACCTTATCACATGATGACCTTGCAGCGAAATTCTGTGTAATTTAGTGGGTGTGTTTAGATTATATATGGGATGTTCAGTGCACCTACACATGTAATCTTGGAACCGCTTTCAGAAACACACCCTACTGGGCTACTGTTCATTAAATCTGTTTCTGCGATCATGTCTTGTAGAATATCCTTAATAACTGCTATGTGCTCCTGCAAACTCACCTGAACCTGTACTTCAGGACAGCAGAACTAAACTAACACCTAAAACTGTTCCTCAGGCTCCTCGTGGGTTCTCCATGGAAGGGATACAATCAAAATCGGAAGGGAGAAATCTATAAGTGTGAGCTTAACAAACCTGGAACCAGCTGTCAGGCACTTAACCTTCAGGGTAAGCTAACATTTCCCATCATTCCCAGTGAGATACAGCAAAAAGGGTTATCTGAGCAATTTCTTATGCTGTGAAGCTCAAAAGCAAATTCTTGGATTTTGATAAGTATTCAAGAAATATTATGAAGTAAAGCTGAAGATGTCACCATGTTTAATATGCCCTCAGATTCAGTCGATACGCCAAAAATCACCAACAGCAACAACATCAACATGAGTCTAGGTCTTACTCTAACTCCAACGACCAAAAACAGCGGCTTTATGGTAAGACTGATGCATCGCAGGCTCATTGGAAAAGCGTGCCTCTACATACATTTATGCAAAAATCCAAAAACGTACCTATATACAATGCAATGCATTTTCTAGCTGAAATGAACACTAGAGGCAGTAAAACACCAACAACTTTTTACACAAATTATGATTACAGGGGCAGATTATCAATTAATAAAGACGTCTTTTTCTGCAATGCTTTGTACAGTACTATGTTATGATCTCAAAAGTGCATGATTTGTAAACTAATAGATTTCGACTTTTGCGTCACATAGTCATCTCCATATGTGGCTTTTCTGATGTGGTAACTTGCCCGGTAGCTCACCTGGTACATTACACTTGAGATACGTCAAACAGGACTCACGATAAGAAAGCTCAAAGATAAGCTAAAATGTCATTGTTGCTTCAGCAAATGTGTTCTAATCTCACGTTTGCTTTAGTTGACACTATGTGTATGTGGTATGTTATTTTCAAACTCAATAGAGCATTAACCTTGTAGCGCCACTCACCGGAAATTTCATTTCCGAACTGCCGCCATACGTACAACAACCAACATAATAAAGCGTTGTCAGATTCACGTTCATCTGTTTTGGATAAAACTGAATGCGCTTTTACCGCCAATCCCTGGGCCTTTCACTTTGAAATTTCCGTGAATTGTGTAAGAAGCCATGTAATGTCATTTTGCAGAAATGTCGCTAAAGGTTTGTAACATACATTTTACATAGATTTTCTATTATTTTGGGAACTGCACTAAGAGAAGTTCCCTGTTTGTTTGTAATAAGAATTAGAGATTCTGTATTAATTGAGAATCACACTTTTTCTTTTTTTTTCTTTCTTTATTTAAATAGAGATCACAAATTATTCTCCCACGATTCTGAATAGACAACTAAACAAAATAACAAGCAATTTACTAGAGGTTCTGACTTGATTGAATGATTTAATTACAAATGTCACTTGTCGCCACCTGCTGGTGTAACCGTATAACTGATAAAGTTATTCTGTTAAAGTTTCTTTGAAGTATCAAGTTACTCAAGTAACTGTTGCCAATTGCCATTTAGTAATTAGATCGTGTGGGTGTTTGTATCGAGATCGCAATCTTTTAACGATTAATCTTGTGGCTCTAATAATAAAAACTGCTTCTTTGAAAAATAGGTTCCCTTTCGGAGTCACTTCAAGTTACGTCGAAATGACGACGAAATGGGGTTCGCTTAGAAGCCTCTCATCTTCGAAAGAAATAAAACGAGCCAATGGCATGGAAATGCCATGGGTCTGCGGAATTTGCATGGTGTAACTCCGCCCCACTGCGTGGGTATACAAGGAAGAACGCCGCAATATGCAGATATGTTTTCGCTTCAGAGCCAAGAAGTTCTTTTTACTCCTGCAGCCTATTCTATGACTTTGAGAATCTTCTAGACGAGCAGCTTCCAGTCGGTGTTGGTGTGATGGCGAGTTCCAGCGAGTTTCACATTCCTGCCTGCTGAACTGAACAGCATGTGTGTTTCTCCCTGGGCGCTTCAGCACTGCTGCGAGCTTTTCTCTCACAAAAAGAGCGCGCATGCGGCACGTCTTTTTACTGACGATCTGCCCGTATATTTCTGAGTGCGGTATTCTGATAGATTTAGCTGATGGACACGAGCACTGTTTTGGCGTGTTTGGGCTTCGATCACGTTCAGACAGCGTTCGTGGATGCGTCACGTTCTCCCAGCGGGAAAATGACCATCGCAATGTAACGGTCGAGACTCTATGAGCTCAATAGAGTGAGAGTCCCCTCATCCACACCCGGATCTATTTTCTCCATGCGAGATAATACTTCGGCTGGTGGCCAGGGTGACCTAAGATGGCAGGTCTGGAACTAAACCGACGAAACATCCTCGGTCTACACCCCGTCTTTCACATTGCAACCCGTGCGGTTCCAAATGAGTTCGCTGACCAGAGCCGCGGCAGAGGACATCGGCAGAGGACGGCGGCAGGCCCGCGATCTCATTCGGTCCCCCGGCTGATGAAATCATGTATATCGCCGCATTACAAGGTGAGCTGGAGTCCTCTGGAGATGATGGCTTGTCTGTGCTGCCATCCTCGGGTGAGCTTGCATAACAAGTCTGATCCAGAGTTGACAGCTATGCTTTCCCGGGCCGCCGCGAGTATCGGGCTTGTGTGGAACCATTCGCCATGTCCCGAGCACTTAAGGCTGATGATTGGTTTTTGGGGGAGGCAAACCCAAATCCTTTCTACCCGGACGTGCATCAAGAGGTCATGAGAAAAATCTCCTTTGATTTTTCGCGACTGCTCAGCGGCCTCTTCCGCCTCTGACATCCCATCTCTAAGTCCCAAGAGGGCGCGGATGGCAGTACGCGCCGCTTACGAGCCTCGCCACTCTCATCCCCCTCTGTTTCCAGACCCCTGACAGAGCAGGCCCCCGTGGAACACTGGTCCTTCCCTGGCCTTCCTCTGTCAGGATGCGGCATATGACCGTGCCCCTACATCGGGACGCTCCACCTCCAACGTCTGGGCCGGTCATTCCGCTTCACTGCCCCATCGTGGGTATATTCGTGGTTCACATGACCCCACTGGTTCAGTTTTGGAGCTTCCAATCTGTCCTACTGGCTCACGAGAATCATCAGGATCGGCTTTGCGATTCAGTTCGCACGGTCTCCTCCCCGCTCCGGGGAATCCGCTATACCGGAGGTCGTCAGCCTACTGGCGAAGGGTACGATCGAGACCACCCCTCCAGCCGAAAAGAAGGCCGGCTTCTTCAGCCTCGACCTCATTTTACCCAAGAAAACCGGTGGGTTCGACCAATCCTGGACCTGCGCGTCTTGAACGTTCCCTTCTAAAAAGGCTTCCGTTCAAGATGCTCACGGCCAAACGCATTTTCGTATGTGTGTGGCCACAGGATTGGTTTGCAGCGATCGACCTGAAGGACGCCTACTTCCATGTCTCCTTTCTTCCTCGACACAGACCGTTCCCTCGGTTTGTTTTCGAGAGGTGGGCATACAAGTATGTGGTTCTCCCATTCGGGCTAGCCCTGTCTCCTCGCACCTTCACGAAGGTCGTCGAGGCAGCCCTTGTGCCGCTCGGCAACACGGGGTTCGCATCCTGAACTATCTCGACAACTGGCTGTTCCTAGCTCACTCTCGAGACCAGGTTTACGAACATAGGGACCTAGTGCTCTGACACCAGCGCCTTTTTTGTTATGTTGATTGCCTCGAGTTGCTGGCAGTAGGTCTCGCTCTCCACCGCTTCCATGTGTTGCTCAAGAACCAGCATGTACTAGTCCGATCAGACAATACCGCGACAGTAGCGTACATCTACCAACAAGGTAGTCTACGCTCCCGCCGTATGTCGCAACTCGCCCGCCACCTCCTCTTATGGAGTCAGAATCATCTGAGGTCGCTTCGAGCCATTATATTCCGGGAACCCTGAATTGTGTAGCCGTCGAGCTTCACGTCTCAGCCTCTTCCTGGAGAATGGTGACTGCATCCCCAGTCAGTTCAGCTGATTTGGGATCAGTTCGTGGACGCACAGGTAGACCTGTTTGCCTTCCACGACTCGTCCCATTGCGACCTGTTTTACACCCTGACCTAGGGCACGCTCGGCACGGACTCATTGGCTCACAGCTAGCCGCAGGGCCTCCGCAAGTATGCGTTTCCCCCAGTGAGCCTTCTTGCACAGATCCTGTGCAAGATCAGGGAGGACGAGGAGCAGGTCATGTTGGTTGCGCCTCGTTGGCCAGCCGGACCTAGTTCTCCGAACTTGTACTCCTCGCGACAGCACCTCCCTTGCCAATCCCTCTGAGGAAGGACCCTTTCTCAGAGACGGGGCACCCTATGGCACCCTCGTCCCGATCTTTGGAACCTCCACATGTGACTAGGCAGGTTTGAGTACCCTACCACCAGCGGTGGTGGCTACCATCACTTCCGCTAGACTAGAGCATCGTCCACATGACATGCCTACGCGTTGGAGTGGAACCCCAGAAAATGCCCGATCAGTGTCGTGCTTTCCTTCCTGCAAGATGGGTTGGAGCAAAGGCTGTCTTCCTCCACCCTGAAAGTCTATGTTGCCGCTATCGCCACACATCACGACGCAGTTGAGGGTAAGTCGGTGGGAAAGCACGACCTGATCATCAGGTTCCTGAGAGGAGCGAGGAGACTGAATCGTCCTCGCCCTCCTCTCGTTCCCTCTTGGGACCTCTCAGTGGTTCTAACTGCCCTGCAGAGTGCTCCCTTGAGCCTCTGCAATCAGTGGAGCTAAGTTCCTGTCAGTTAAAACAGCGCTTCTGGTTGCATTGGCCTCCATTAACAGGGTAGGGGACCTGCACGCGTTTTCCATTGACAAAGCGTGCCTGGAATTCTGGCCGGCCTATTCTCACGTGATCCTGAGTTCCCGGCCTGGATGTGTGCCCAAGGTTCCCACCACTCCCTTTCTGGATCAGGCGCTGAACCTGCAAGCGCTGCCCACTCCGGTACGCGCTAGAGGTCTTCACGGGTCCACTTGGATCCGAAAACCCGAGGTCCGACCCGAGACCCCAGCGGGTTCGGGTCCAAAACTCTGACGAGTGTCTCGGACACAGGTCGAGTTCGGTATTAGTGGCCTCGGGTCTCGGGTAATTTAAACTAAATATGTCTTTTCCAAATGGACCCGAGAAGACCCGAATTCTTTTAAACTATCTAAGTGAGAGAGCGAATCCGCGCTTTTACGTGCAAATGGGCTATAAGCATAAGTACGGTTGCCTCCGCATTTATTTACTCAGTTGCTCGCTCCACATAAACCAACCCCTCTCTTTGCCAAGAAGAACTAGTGCGCCATCATGTGGATGGATGTTTGACTAAATGCAAGCATTTGAATTGTCGTTTAGCCAGGCCTGTCAATCAATTTAAAAAATACGCGACACTGTCAGAAAAGCATGGAGGCGATAACAGAAATTGCGAAAAATGTCAGGGAAAACGAATGGTGGTTCTAATCATCGTATGGTCCGGTAAATAACATTATGCCAAATTTTATAGGACGTAATGGGTTACAGTGATGTGTGATTGACATTTTAGCACTTCAGCACGCTTACACTTGCGCGTCTATGTTAAGTGCATTTTTGAGAAACGCAGGGCTGCAGGCTGTGCACAATGTAAATGCCGTTTACGTTCGGCTCCAGTCGACACTTTCTAAAGGAAATGGCGTCAGGTCGGGTCGGACTCGGGTCTAATTTTATCGGGTCTGTCTCGGGTCGGGTTTTTCTTTAAAAAAAATAATTTATGCACGTCGGGTTCGGGTAAGTAGTGATTCGGGTCGATTCGGGTCGGGTACAGTTTTTAGGACCCGAGAAGACCTCTAGTACGCGCCCTCCGTGCTTACGTAGACAGAACGCAGTGTTTCAGGACCTCAGACCAGCTCTTTGTCTGTTATGGTGGGAAGCTGAAGGGAAAGGCTCTCGCCAAGCAGAGGCTGTCTCACTGGATAGTGGACGCAATTGCTTTGCATACCAGCAGCAAGGTCGACTGTGTCCACTTGGTTCGAAAGCCCACTCCACCCGGAGTGTGACTTCCTCCTGGGCTGTAGCGCATGGTGCCTCGCTAACAGACATCTGCAGAGCTGCAGGCTGTGTGACACCCAACACATTCGCCAGATTCCAAAGACAATCTCCCAGTGGAGCCAGTGTCCTTCCGTGTACTCGCTTCAACCAGCCGGTACTAGGACCCGCTCAGGTGTCTTCGCTTGCTCGCCATTCCACTTCAAGGACTGGATCCGTGCGATATTCTCCTCAGGTGAGCCTCACAAGCCGTGAGTTCCTCCAGCGCTGTTGACGTCAACGCCAGAGTTATGCCTCCGGCAGCTTTCGGGATTGGCTGGGTGTCGCCATGTGCATGGTTCCCCCTCTGGGTGACTCCCACATGTGTATTTCCACTGTAAGCCTCTCTGAGCATGTGTCTTTCCCTTGGCAAGCCACTCTGCCTCCCCTGGGGTTGAAATATTCTGTATGCACCCCCTCTGGGTCAAATGTGTATTCTGTAAGCCCCCCCCTTTGGGCAGACACTGATTGCATATTTCCTCTGAGATATGCTTCCCAGTGTACCTTGGTATTCCTGTGTTAAGTAGGAGTCCTTTGTCCATGCTAGTCTCACGACAGGGAGCACAGACTTACGCAGGCCACTGGAAGACAGCCGAGGGGGCGTGATTGGACTGGGAACCCCATTTCGTCGTCATTTCGACGTAACTCGGAAGTGACTACGAAAGGGAACGTTACGTCTCCCTGCCACTTCCGCTGTACCGCTGGAACAGCCGAGTTCAGTCTTGGCTCCTCAGCGGAGAAACATATCTGCATATTGCGGCGTCCTTCCTTTTATACCCACGCGGTGGGGCGGAGTTACGCCATGCAAATTCCGCAGACCCATGGCATTTCCTTGCCATTGGCTCGTTTTATTTCTTTCGAAGATGAGAGGCTTCTAAGCGAACCCCATTTCAACCTCGTTCCCTACTCAGGGAACGAGGGTTACATCCGTAACCGGGACGTTCTTCTACTTGTGGTTTCAGTTAGTTTATCTGGGATGTCATGTACTCAGTTATTATTATATTAAGTTATATTTGTGTTTGTGTTTCAGACATGTGGTCCTCTGTGGGCTCAGCTCTGTGGAAGTCTGTATTTCTACCCAGGAATCTGTGCTGAAGTGAGCCCACAGTTTACACTCCAGTCGGTCTTTTCCCCTGCCATTCAAAGTACAAACACACTTCCATGTCCTGTCTCGTAAAGTTAGGTTAATCTCCATTGTGAATCCCCAGCAGAATATTAACATTTATGTTGTTTTGTTTCTCTTTCAAACAGCTTGTGGCAGTTTTATGGACATTGCCATTGTTTTGGATGGATCCAACAGTATATACCCATGGGAACCAATCGTCGCTTTTCTCAAGAAACTTTTGGAAAACTTAGACATTGGACCTCAAAGCACTCAGGCCAGTCAGACCGCTTGTGTGCAATTTGTTTAACCTGGTTTTCTTGTCTGTATCGACTGTTTACATATATTTCTGATTTCGTTTGTGACAGGTCAGTGTGATGCAGTATGCCGTTGACACCTCGTTCGAGTTCTACCTGAATTCCTATCAGACAAAAGAGTCCATGATTAAAGCAGCTTCAAAAATTCTGCAGAAACAAGGATTAGAGACTAACACTTTCAAAGCCATTGATTTTGCCAGGTATGCATGATTCTTTCTGATCAACTTCACCTGAACTACTGTTACTGAAATATAGTAAAGGACATAGCCTCATTCAACTGCATATGCAGTAATTTATGACTTTTATATAAAATCTTTTAAAACACACTTTTTACATGTACGGTAGTCTTCTAACAAAGTCCAACAGTGGAAATACGTAGATCGTAGCAGATTGTTTTCATCTTATATCTCATTTTTCATTTTTTATGTCTCAAAGATGAACATTTCCTCTATACCATTTTCTCCTTATCACATAAAGATATTGTGTTTACTATTCTGTGATGAAAATGGCAGTGGTGCAAACGTTTTTTTTTTGGGGGGGGGGGGGTTAATGGTTGATGTTTTGTCCAACTAAGGCTAATTTATTAGTAGTAGTAGCAGGAATAGAAGTAGTGTAACACTTTTTGCACAATAATTTGACAATTACAAATGAGACTTGCACTGTAAAAAAGTTTCTGCCTTAAAATTTTCAGTACAATCAACTTTGATGTTTAAGTCATTTCAACTTAAATTACATTAACTTAAAAATGTGTTAATCCTGTATAACTTATTGCCTAACTTATTTTGATGTTAAAGCAATGTAAAAACATAAGTTGTGAGAACTTATTGATCATATCATTTTTTACAGTGTACATATTCTGCTCACAAGTGATAGTTACAGTTCTTTGATTTTTCTTTGTTTCCTTCACAGATCACTTATATATCAAATATCTCAAGCAAAAAAATGATAATTTTACATAAAAGCATTTGAAAAGCATTTGAAAAGACATGATAAAAAAAGTTTACTTTCTTTTGTTTAATATAATATAATGGGGGAAAAAGTGAAACAAATTGCTCCTGGAACAAAAAAAGTGCCCAAAGTTATATACAGTAGTATATACAAAACCACTATAACTGTGATTATAAAGTAGTTTTTACACTTTAGCTTTACAGAGATTTCACACTAAATGCTTTCTTTTCCCTTGGTGGGTTCGTGTGGATTTCTGCGGGTGATTGGATCTCACAGAAAGGAGGCATTCCTGGCCAAATACGGAGGTCGTCCTGGGGCCACTAAAGTGATGGTGGTGGTAACTGATGGAGAGTCACATGATGCAAATCTGAGGAAAACCGTTATTCCGGCATGCGAGAGCCAAAATATTACTCGCTTTGGCATTGCGGTTAGTGAAAATAAAAAGATATACAGTCCTAGGTGAAGGCATGAATTCATATATGGGTTTTAATATTCAGTATTTATGAATGTTGTGAAGAGGTGAATTTTTGCACTTTTTTAGGTGCTTGGATATTATATAAGGAATGACATCGACACAAGCAAACTCATCGCTGAGATTAAGTCAATAGCCAGTAATCCAACCGAGAAATACTTTTTCAATGTGTCTGAGGAGGCGACGCTTATAGAGATTGTCGGGACTCTTGGAGATCGAATCTTCAACATTGAAGGTCCATGATAATGCTGATTTTACTGTGTGTTACATATAAATGAAAGCCTTTTTAGAGTAATGTAACATACATGCGTTTCTTTACAAACATATATTGTCAATAAATATTGCCTTTGTTTTTGTTCATTGACATCTTTAGGTGTTGGAAAAGGTAGTGGGGATAATTTCAAACTGGAAATGTCTCAAGTGGGGTTCAGTGCATACCAGACCAGAAATAAGGTGCTGGCTTTATATGTCTGTGTATTTCCATCAGTGTTTCTAGATGTTTTTTTCTCCTGGTGGTTTACTTTGAGTCTTGGTTCTAGGATGTGATCCTACTGGGAGCAGCTGGAGCATATAATTGGATCGGGACCATTGTTCACCAAACTGCTCAGAAATCAGACATTTTGCCCAAAGCTGCGTTTGAGAAAATTTTGGAAGATAGAAATCACAGTTCATTACTTGGTAAGCATTGCACCAGTATAGATAAGTTTGTTTTGTTGCATCTAATGAACTGAAATATCATAATTTTTACATTAACACTGGAATGTTTTTTCCAAAAGGTAGCATATTAGATTAATTCACTTATTTTTGTGTATAAATATTCCCCTGACATATATCCAGGCTACTCTGTGAGCTCTGTGACTGACGGCTCGTCTGAGTTTTATGTGGCCGGTGCTCCTCGTGCCGTTCATAGAGGACAGGTTATAGTTTACATCATTGACAGCCAGAGACAACCTGTGGTCATAGATTCACAAAGAGGAGATCAGGTACATTTGACCCTTAATGACCTTGAGTTTCATAAGAAAGTAAAGTCCTGTAATGTGTAATTTTGGTGTGTGTGGTTTGCAGATCGGGTCTTATTTTGGCAGCGTTCTCTGTCCCGTTGATGTGAACGCTGATGGAGTGACTGATCTGCTGCTGGTTGGAGCTCCGATGTACATGAGCGACGAGAAGTTTGAGACAGGACGAGTCTACCTGTTCACCATTACCAAGGTGATTTTGTATATTGTGCTTATTTCCTTCTCTTTTTTCTGTAGTTAACTACAGTATATTATATAACCTACTAATAAAGCGAAGGTTGTAAAAGATTTTTATACACTAATGCTGCATTCACACCATGTTGTAAATTACCATAATTATGAGATGTCAACATGTGACGTTCGACTCGCACTGCATCCGAAATCGAATACTTCCCTACTATATGGTAGGAGAAAAACAGTATGGCAACAGAGTAGTGTGTCCCTAATACACAGTATTAAAAAAACAGTAGGCGAAAAGTTCCAGGATGACCTACTTCTTCTGCCGAGTTTCTGAAGTGCGCATTCGATGGACACTTTACTATCCCATGAAAGGATTGAAAGGCCACAGGAAAGGATTTGTGAATGGAGCGAAAGCAACTGTCACATGACAGTGACAACATGGCAGATGTAATATGTCAGAATTTCATTCAAACTACACACGTTCATACTATATAGAACATACATTTTTAGTGGTCGCGAAGTAAGTTTCAAACCAAATGTAGTACTAAGTATGGATATCGGACGCAGCGTCAGAGCTCTTCATGTTTCTGTGGCAACACTATCAACGGCAAAATGAATCTGCGGTGGTGGTCAGGTGGTACAGCGGTCACGTGGTAAGAGCTCTCAAAAAATGCAGTTTACAAGTTGTAATTATGAGTTTTATGAGGACGTTTTTACATGTCTGCCGTAATTGACCGTTCGCAAAGGCCCGCCCCCTTTTAGTTACTGTACATTCACACCACCGCCGACTTGAGCGTCAAAGAAGCTCTGGCCGCCCTGTCAAGGACGCTTGTCAAAAAGTACGGGGAAGCTTGTTGACGCTTTGGACGCTTTGAACGCTCTGACGTTGCAGGGAGAATAGAAGTGTCACAACATGAAATGTAATAAACAGAAAAAAACAAGCAATACATTGAAGAAACCTTTTATAATGACAGCATTTTTATAACCGTTTTGGTCACATTTGGTCGGGAAAAAAAGAATAGTTAGCTATTACTATTATAATTTGCATTAGGCTATAAATGCAATTGGTCAAATCGGTGTCACCGTGAGCAAATGAATTGCATTCCCGCTTTAAAACGAGCATTCATAAATATTTCAAATAAAAGTTGCGCTCATGCGGTCCCTATAAGCAAACAACGTCATTTCATAAATAATAGGAAACCTGTAGGAATCCCAGCAACGGCGATTATTGGCTTCTCTTCCATTTTCTCGGAACTAATGTTTTGGTAGGAACGAAAGATTACATCGTATGTTTCTCCGGAATCAGCTAGCGCGAAGGACGTCTATATTCCGTTTGGTTGCTGGCGTTTTGCCGCTGCTTGCCGCTGAACCGCGTCACAGCTCATTACCATAAAGTTGAGCTTCTTTCAACTTTCTGATTGACGCTCAAAACGCCTAAAACGCGACGCCGATGGATTTGACGCTCCTTGCAGCTGAGAAAAACCAGCTTCCATTGAAAATGAACGACTTCCGGCCGCTTTGGAAGCTCAAGTCGGCGGCGGTGTGAACGTACAGTTACTGTTGCTATGTCCGACAAGCCACTGCGCTCTCACGCCACATGTTCTCACGCAGTGAAAAATACATTGCGGAGCAAAGAGGACACTGACAACACGCCGACAGACTGGACAGACCAGTTTACTTTTGATTTGAAACAAAGTCTGAACTTTCAAGTTAATTACAAAGAAATGTTTTGGCTCTTTAATGTGTTGTGACAGATCGCTGTAGAGGCTCAGTTAGAGCTGCTCGTGAACCGATCATTTCTTCCTTTTAGGGAAGATGTCAGTAAACACTGTTTTTCAAGTTCAAGTCCACCGACGTTGATCTACTAACTCTCCTGACTGCTTTGTCGGACAAAATGGTGGATTTGGCAGATGGCGGATTATGATTGGTCAGATCGCCTGTCAATCAAACTCCCTGCGAAGGGTGAATTATGATAATTCCAACATGGCACGAATGCACCTTAAATACCACCAAATTCAAAATGTTTGGTGTTGGTAAGATTTGTTTGATGTTTTTGAAAGATGTCTCTAATGCTCACCAAGGCTGCATTTAATTGACACTCAAAGTTAACAATTTCAGACGGATGGACATTTAAGGGATAATATAGTCATATATCACTTATTACACAGCTTTTCACCACATAAATAATGACGGGGACATGATATTGATTTGAGATAATACTCATTAATACTGATTGACCGACCTCGAAATGTTGCAATGCAACAATCCTCGAAATGCTGCGTAATTTATGAGAGCCCTTTATTATTCATTTCATTTTTTAATAGGGTATCTTAAGTAACCAGGGTTTTTTGGAGGGTTCTCAAAAGAATGCTCGGTTTGGGACGGCCATCACTGTCGTCCCAGATCTGAACCTGGACGGCTTCAGTGACGTGGTGGTTGGTGCCCCGTTGGAAGGCAATGGCCATGGTGCCATTTACATCTACTATGGAGACAGAAAGACCATCAGAAAGCAGAGCTCACAGGTAGAACGAAACACTTCATTGAGTTCTCAGCACATAAAATGTAATTGCAAGTGCCAAAATTCAGAATATTCTCACCAATTTAGAAAATTATTGGAACGAAACTGGACCCAGTGCTGAAGTACTTTGGCCGTTCTCTAGACGCCAGCGGAGATATGAATGGAGACTCGATCCCAGATGTCACAGTGGGGGCTTTTGGGAAAGTCGTCCAACTCTGGTGAGAATTTGAACCAATTGATTTTTTTACAACTTTGCGGGGGTGTAAAACAGCTCGATTAGATCGTTCCATGCAACAGGAGACCATGCTAATTTGTAATACTTCATTAACGGCCCACCTTCAACAACTGAGTGAAGTGTGTAACAGCTGCATCGACGGCCTCTGTCATGGTGGGATATCTGGATATGTTTGTGGCCAGGGAAATGATCGCTCCAGCTGTCCTCTGGAATCCCATTTTTCACCTCAGCAATTCTCTAAGCATCGACTTTCTGTGGGACTCTCCTGTTTGTTCCAAAACCCATAAATCAATTGAACGGTTGAGTTTTAATTGATGCATTCTTGAACTCTTTCATTGTGGGTTTAGGGGTAGCGCAGTTGCAGTGGTCACAGCCAAGGTTTCCTTCACCCCTGATAAGATCAGTATCCTGAGTAAACCGTGTCGCTACAGTGGGAGGCAGGTGTCCTGCTTCAAGGCTAAAGTGTGTTTCAGCGCAACATTTAAACCAACGAATCCACTGGGCCCAGTGGGTAAGGATACTGATTCTGGTCTGGTTTAATATTTTTAGGAGATGGACACATTTGGTCAGAGGAAGTAATGCATATACACATCCTTTTATAAAAACAGGTATCAAGTACAACCTGACCCTGGATGCTGACCTGCAGTCTTCTCGGGTCAGCCCTAGAGGTTATTTCAGCAACTTGGATCGGGTCCTCCAGAAAGACATCAGCGTCTCTGCGCAGGACATGTGTGAAGAGCATGATGTGTATGTGCAGGAGACCCCTGACCTCGTCAACTCAATTGCTTTGCGTGTGGACGTAGTTCTCAGCTATCCAGACGCAAACCCGGTTTTAGACGTCTTCAGTCCCAATGCGTGGGAGTTTTTTGTGAGTGTTGCGAGAACCAAAATTGAAGTGCCTGTGGTTTACTGTGATGGGCATGTGTTAAGAAAAAGGGCAATTAATAAACAAATGAATCAACTATGTCAGGGGATTTCTAACCTTTCGATCAGGGGCGTCAATTGGGGATGGAAGGGTATGGCAGTAGCAATACCTTGGCTACAATAGTACAATCAATCCAATTTTCCATGGAACCCCCTGGACCCCAGTTTAAAATCCTCTGACTTAGGCTATTAAGAATAGAAGAATGCATCATCTTTGTTCAGGAAAATCTTCCTAAATCCTTGTGTTTATCTCTGGGGTTTGGTTTGGTCCAGATCCCATTCTCAAAGGACTGTGGCCAAGATGAAGTTTGCTTCAGTGACTTGGTACTGAGTGTGGAGAGTGAAGAGAAACGTGGGTAAGATTCCTTCAACCATATGACTTAAACAAGTCATCAATGTTAATCTCATGCTAATCTCTTAATAATAAATGATCTCTTATAAGGAAATTTGAAATGATCTAATTAACTAGCACCCAATTTCTTTTGTGAAAAGTTTCCATATAAATCTCTTACACCCTTAAAAATAAAGGTTCTTTATTAGCATTGAAGTATTTATAAGTGTTTTGTTTATTTATTATTATTTCTAGCAAAACTCCACTGGTTGTCAGCCAGAACAAGAGAAGACTCTCCTTCACTGTGACAGTGATGAACAGGAAGGAAAATGCATACAATGCACGGGTGACAGTCAGCCACTCCAGTAACCTGTTCTACGCTTCTTTTACACCACTGGTACTTTACAACCAATCCAGACAATTCATTAATTATATTCTACTTGACATCAGCAGTACAATATATGATTGTGAAAAGAACTTGAATAAAACTGGGCTGGATTCAGGTGGTGCTGTGGCAGGCTATTTGTTTCACCCACACATTTATCTGACCAGAAGATTCTACCCGTAATTTAAAGGGACAGTTCTACCAAAAATGAAAATTCTGTCATTAATTACTCACCCTCATGTTGTGCCACACCCATAAGATGAACTTTCGTTCATCTTCGAAACACAAATGAAGATATTTTTGATAAAATCCGAGAGTTTTTGGTCGCTCTATTATGAGAAACGCAATTTACACATTCAAGGTCCAAAACGGTAATACATCATTAAAGTAGTCCACATGACTCCAGTGGTTTAACCTCAATTTTATGACGCGACGCAAGTGCTTTGTTTGCGAAAAAACAACAACATAATTTACCTCTATATTTGCATAGAGGTAAATACTGGATTGCACTTTAATTATGTATTTATCTTTCTGGGGCTTGAATGTGTAAATTGCTTTGCTCCCAGTGGGTGGGACTGCTCTCGGATTTCATCAAAAATATCTTCATTTGTGTTCTGAAGATGAATGAAGGTCTTACGGGTGTGGAAGGACATGAGGGTGAGTGATTAATGACCGAATTTTGGGTGAACTATCCCTTTAAGTGCAATATACTGTGTACTGTATTTGTGTTTTACTTAAACAGCACAGGCATGTTCTTGTGTTCAAAACAGCTGTTTTTGCTTTCTGATATTTCAGATTGATGGAACAGAAGTGAAGTGCACTCTGATGAAAGATTCAGACAAACTCATCTGCCAATTGAGTTATCCAGCCCTGAGGACAGACCAATCGGTGAGTCAGACATCTGCGAGCATTCGTCTTCAGATCTGACTGATAGGATTTTAACGATTTTGTTACTTTTCCTCAGGTTACGTTCGTGGTAAACTTTGACTTTAACTTGAATCGGCTTGAAAAAGATGCCAAAGTTGTCTTTGAGGCTTTAAGGTAAATATAGAAATTAAGAAAAGTAAAAAAATGTGACAGTTCATAGCTCTAAGATCCACAGATGAATTAATGTTCATCAATGTTTGATTGGTTTATTTGCACTGCAGTGACAGCACAGAGGAAACTCCCGCTGATAATTTTTTCCATGAATCCATTCCTGTCCAATACAACTCTGAGATCATCCTCAGCAGGTCAGACAACACACCCCTTTTATAACATTACAACATTTCCTTTATTAAACACCTATCAGGAATGTCTGATTCTGATTGGTCAGCTGTTGCATTCTGCAGTCTACTAGCTGTGCTAGTTTCATTTTTCTCGTACAGGGTTCCCACATTTCAGGAAAGCATTAAATGATATTGGAGCATTTCAAATGTGTGATTTCCACACTTGGAAAAATCATGGAAATTGATAAAGTTTCAGAAATTAAAACTGTCAGTGTAAATTTTTCTACCTGTCTTCTGATAAAAAGTGCTCTTTGTGACTGATCTCGATTAAAGTTTTTTTTTTTTAAATCCTCTAGTAATCATACGGTAGGCCTACCGGGCATTTAAAAAAAAAAAAAAAAAACTTTTACTCTGCAAAGATGCTTTAAAGTGATCGAAAGTGCCATGCAGTTAAAACATCTACATGTTACAAACGATTTCTATTTCAGATAAATGCTGTTATTTTTAACTTATATATTAATGGGGAAAAATTCAGTTTTTACAAAATTATTAAGCTGCACAACTCTTCTCAACATTGATAATAATAAGAAATGTTTCTTATTAGAATGATTTCTGAAGGATCATGTGACACTGAAGACAGAAAATTGCTGAAAATCCAGCTTTGATCACAGGAATAAATTACATTTTAAAATATATTACAATAGAAAACAGTTACTGTATTTTAAAATATAATACTATATTTTTGATCAAATTAATGGTGAGTATAGGATACTTAAAAAATTAAAACCCATTAAAATACATTTCTGATCCCAAACTTTGGAAAAGTCATGGAAAAAATCATGAAAGTGAATTGGTTATAAAGTGTGGGAACCCGTCTGGAGAAAAATCCTGAGTAACTTAGTAATTTATATAAACATTATATTTCTGTTCTGTTTTAAAACCTCTTTTAAAATAATGTTGAGTAGTTCCTCTATTTCTGCTTGAAATCAGTTAAATAAAACATTTTAACCCCATCATAATATTTATTTCTTAATGTTTAAATGTTTTTTTATTATATTCACATTTTTTTCAGAGAATCAAACTTAGATGTTTATTTACTGGAAAAAGAGGAAAATTTTGCAACCACAGTAAGGGGATACAAGGACATCGGCCCAGATTTTAACTTTAATTTAAAGGTGAGTTCATGTTGTAGTGAAATGGATAAATCCTTCAGGCTGTTCACTCATGGTAGTGATTCAGCCTGCTAATGTTAGTGTATTTATTTCAACAGGTTTCTACAGGAACTGTCCCAGTCAGCCTGGTTTACCTCAATGTGTCGCTGCCAAACAGCACTAGAGCAGGAAATCCCCTTCTGTACATAACCAGCATTAAAACTTCACCTGTGAGGAGCAATAACAGTTTCTTTTACACCCAATGTATTTAGCCATCCATATATGACTGAAAGCAGTGTCTGTGCATGTGGAAATGATTTGACGACGATATTTCCTGCAAACAGGCTGAAAAATTCCATTGTACCGACAGCAATCTGATCGACCCATTTAAGATCAGTCAGAAACCTTATCCAGCCCGATTCACTGAGGAGAGTTTTAGAGGAACAGAGGAACTGGTAGGTGCTTGATCTAATATTTTCCGGAAATCCAAGAAAGAGAAAAAAGCATTTACTGTTGTCATTGTTATTGATTGCGACACACAAAGGAAGTAATAACGAATGAAGAATGAAACCCAGTAATAATTATTTGTGTAATAATGTTTTCAATTAGATCTAGATGTTGATTTGCAAGTCAAGATGACTAATTCTGTCTCAGGATTACAAATAACAGGATGTCTTGAAATTTCCGTCCGCAAAGCCGTAACCGTATTGATCATCTGTTCACCAGAACTGCAAAACGGCCACATGTCAGTTTATGCGATGCGTCCTGAAGGACCTGGAGGAGAAGAATGATTATTACCTGAATGTTACTACAAACATTTGGAATGGCACCTTTGCAATGGTAAGTGAAATCATCTCATTACTTTTCTCATACAAGTGTTGGGGTAAAAGTCCCCCTGTAGTCAATCATTTTATCCTTTGAAACTCATCTTTGATCACCAAAATGACATATTTAAATTAGTGCTGTCAAACGATTAAAATGTTTAATTGTGATTAATCGCATTAATGTCATAGTTAACTCGCGATTAATCGCAATTAATCGGACATTTTTATCTATTCTTAATGTCTCTTGATTTCTTTTTGTCTAATTTTTTTATCAACATGGAAAAGTGGATCGGCTTGCTTTGTGCAAATGTTTTTTATTGAAAACAACATTGGCATATACTGTGTTCAATTTCACACTAACATTCTCACTTGGAGCAAATAATCTCTCACACAATGTAACACTGTCCATCAATAAAAGGGTGAAAGAAATACTGACGAGGTCCTGATATTAACGAGGGGGCGGAGAATTCGCATCAGCTGTGTGTGTGTGTGTGTGTGTGTGTGTGTGTGTGTGTGTGTGTGTGTGTGTGTGCTTGGCGATCATCAAGTGGTATTTCAGACTGGACGTGCTGCGATGATGATAGCTCAGTTCACAACGACAAAACACACAGATCACTTTGGTCTCGTCAATGGAACCATTTGGCAACTTTTTAAAAGTAAACTTTCCATTCAGAATCTTATTGGCATCCATTTCGGCGTCTCGCGCTCGTCATCCAATCAAATTGTAACGCTAACCAACTATTTGGCCGGCTTGCAAGCCCAAACGAGTGTGTGCGGCGTGCCTGTTGTTTTGTTTCCGGTCTAGCTAGATCCGCTTGCGCTTTGATCGACGAAGCAACAAAACGTCCTTGCGCGGCGCAAGCCATTGAAATGAATGGGTTTCATAGCGCATACCGCGTCCTGTTGCAAAAGCATGTGAAAAAAAAACGACAAAGTTTGCCAAAAAGACCATTAATCACGCGATAAAAAAATTGACGCCGTTAAAATGGGTTTGCGTTAACGCCGTTAATAACGCGTTTAACTGACAGCCCTAATTTAAATGCTTTTTCCTTGAAAAAAAATATCCATGCCTTAAAATAGCTTGAATGTAACTCTACACCCTTCCCTCATTTAGTATACGCTGTTCTATGAATATGCAAATTAGCCCCGCCTCCACTCACTCACACCAGCTCAGAGATTCACTCGTTGACGATCACACGTTGACCTGATTGGTTACAAGGTAGTAGGGATGGGACGGTATGAAAATTTCATATCACGATTATAGTGACCAAAGTTATCACGATTATCAATATTATCACGGTTTTGTTAAAATGAGATGGAAATGTTCAAAAAGAACTGATGCTCACCCTGAAAACATTTGAAAATCAACAAACAAAAAATACAATTAGCAGGCTAGCAGCTATATGCACTTTTTTAAGCATAAACATTATATTAACATTAACATGGAGCCCTGAGAGTGAGAGGTATAAGTTTTCCTAGTGCAGGTTTTAATGAACCCGTCATTAAACCCTATCATTAATAATGATAATAACACTTATGGATGTGTGTATGACTGAATATTATTATTATTAATAAATAATAAATCGCTTTCTCTCTCTCACACACACTCACACGCACGCACGCACACACACTTTAAATGAACAAAATATGTTGGTTGGGTCAGGGTGACTAAACTACTGGAATACTTATAATGTCTGTTGTAAATAGCAACGCACTACACAGCGCACATCCATGTCTCGGATCACCGTGGACGCGGTGTGTGTCTTGCGTCTCAGTTTTGATTGTATTGAAAATTAAATCAGAGTAATTTAGTATTAATACTACTACAATATTGTTGAAGTGATCACATTTACTTTACGATTGATTTGGACACTGTAACTTGTATAATGGATTTATAAACCGGCAAGATTTAAAAACATTAAGTTAATCACAATTCAATATTTCATGTCCCTGAAATTATTTCTGTGGTAAAAAATTAAAAATAAAACTGTAATAAGTTTACTATGAATTAGGGGTGTAACGATACACAAACCTGACGGTTCGGTTCGTCCCACGGTTTTGAGGTCTCGGTTCGGTTCGGTTCGGTTCATTTCGGTGGGGTGGGGGGGGGTTAGAAAGCTAAAATTGCTTTTATTTTTTATTAAACAGTGCTTTAATGAGCAAATTGAGTCCTTGTCTTTAAATTAATTCAATTACAAGTAAACGTTTCTCAAGGACAACAAAATTATCTGCTAATGCTGTAAACTACAGCCCTTACTTGCACATGATTACTATAACATTAAAGCTTAACAACAGAGCCTAGACTTTTAACCTAAATTATATAATAATAATCAACACTCAAATAACAAATTGTATGAAAACATGTAAACTGCACATAAGGCAATTTTTGCATTAACATGTTTTTACTCTAATTTGTTATTGTCATATAATAATTTACACAGTTGCTGTTATTTTCATGACAACTATTTTAAACATACATTAAATAATCAAGACATCATAAACAGGTTAAGTAAAATATAATATATAGGCTAATATATATCATTTATTTAGTGAAAGAGTTAGCAAACCAGCAAGCTGTGGACACTGAATGACTTGCCTGAGGTAAATATAAAGCTATGTGAAAAACTAAGCGTTTTATTGACGTATTTCCGCTGTTGAAACACTGATTGAGTGTTTACACGAGTTATGATGCCTTTCAGTAAGTATACTGTATCTTTCAACATACCTTCGGGTGTCCATTCATGTTTATTCTGTAACTGAGGAAGAGATGATCGCGCTCCGCGCTGCCGCATGCATACAGTGATATCTGTCACGCCACATCTAAGAGCGCCAAAACGGCATTTATTGTTTGCATTTCGTGATCAAATAGACATAATTTGAAAGATTACACCTGGCTTATTATCAAAAGTAACAAAACACTGAGCTTATTGCGATTATATGTGGTTAATGGTGGTTAGGCAACAGCCCTGTATTCGTTGTGTACACATAACACATGAGGTGCAATGAGCCGGGGCTGGGCGGGGCCGCAGGGGGCGGGGCGCGTTCGGTTCACCATGAGAGTATCGCGATACGTATCGTGGGTGGTGTATCGCGGTTTTTCGGTTCGGTTCAAATATCGTTACACCCCTACTATGAATGAATACAATACATTATCCCTTAAATGTCACCCTTAATAGTTTGAATATGTTCGTTCGTCTTGGCTCAAATCCACTTGCTGTAAAACTTTTCTCTTCGCGGAAGCTTTGCAATAATTACAAGTGAGATAATGAAATAATTCATCTCCAATACATTTTTTGTCTAATTATTTGCCCAAGTTAGTTGTGCTATTAAGGTAAAAAATTAACTCAGTGGGTGGTTGTCACGTAACGTTAGATGACTTAGCAGATTTGACGTGTTTCCCCCTTTTGCAGCGACTTTCCTCTTGCAAGATTTGCAGACAGGCTGCCCATCCTCGATTAAATTGCCCTCGGGACTCTTGTAATAGCCAAAATACGACCATACCTCCGATTTTGTCCTCTTGGATGGCTGAAAAATCTCCCGTGCGCTGTCACTGCCTTCCGCCATGTCTTCTCGCGCAAAAAAAACAACATTGCATCTGCGCGCCTGCTCGCGTAGCGCCTGAGTCAGACTGATTCTGGCTGGACAGGATTTACCGCGAGTTTTCAAAATCACGATAATCAAACACGGTTTTTATGATAATTAAATTTTAAACGATAATACTAACCGCCAGGCCATTTTATCGTGGTTTATCGTGAAACCGGTAATCGTCCCATCCCTACAAGGTAGTTTGTGACGTCAGAAAAAACAACGATTTCAAACCGCGTTTTTGAGACTCTCTTTGGTTCACTGCAGTTTTAAGGAGAAAATACTCAGCAATGGTGTTGAGTTATGAATTTGCACATGGTTTGTCTTAAAACATAATAAAAACACCACACAGTCATATAAACAACATTAAAAGCTTGATTTTCACCACAGGGGGACTTTAACCATGTGTTTGTTTGCCCATTCAAGGCTGATTTCCTGTACGTCGTGCTCTCTGTGAGAGCTGATATAGAGACTTCTCAACCGGACCTACTGTTCATCGAGCAGAAACAGCTGAAGGTATTGTCATCATTTGAACACTGCCTCAAACGTCTTCCGACACGTCGACAGTCATTACCCATGTCGAGACAACTGACTTGAGTTCATTGCAGGTTGAAGTCAAAGTGAGCCAACCTGGAGCTAAAGGGGACGTCCCGGTGGGCGTCATTGCAGGGAGTGTTATCGGCGGTCTGTTATTATTGGCTCTTGCCGTCGCATTGCTTTGGAAGGTGCTTAATTTAGCTTTCTCCTCACAATGTCTTTTCAGCGTACATCTTGTGCCATTGTCTTCCTTTAAAAACCAATGTGTTTATGTTCAGCTTGGATTCTTCAAGAGGAAGTATCAAAAGCTGATGAAGAACGAGGAGAATGAAGGGGAAGATCAGGATCTGAAGGAAAACAGTGAGGCGCCCTGAAAGATCGGCCGAGACTCATTTGGAGATGTCACAGGTTTCTTCCCTGACACAAATGTCCAGAACGGGGTTAGAAAGAGTGAACTGAATGAACTGGAAAATGCCGGTTTGATTACAATGCATTAACTTACAACTGGTATTCCAATCCCATTCATTTTTCTCATATGCTTTTTCTCTGCTAGCGGGTGTATCTTTTGGCTCAGTCTTACCACTTCCTCTGAGTAGAGTATTTAACTAGATCTTTTTGACTATTGTGACTTTTGATTATTGGTGTCATATGCTGGCATATGAGAAAACATGGACCTTTCAGTTCTTATTTGATCATTTGTTTTATAGTTGAGTACGAAAATTACCAAACACATAAGGCTCCGATATATTTCAAGCAAAATCGTAAGTTCGAAACAGCTTGCTGCTATAGCGAACTTTCTGGAAAAGTTTGTTCTGACTGGTAAACAACTTCCATTGGCCCGTGGCGTTTATGTAATAGCTGTGGCTCCGCCGTCTTTGACGTGGAAATCCTTCCCGTTTATTTCTTCTGTTGTTCAGTCCTTGGAGGTCAGACGCGAGTAAAAACATGAACACACTGGAGAGTTGTAATTCTAATTAAAAGAGACACATAGTATTTTCACGTTTAATACTGTAAAGCTGCTTTCTTTAAAGCAAACTATTGTATAAAGTGCTATATAAATAACATGACTGGAGTGCTGAATTGCAGAGCTTGTGCGAAAATCCACATCACTATTATCAGATGCTTTAAGTCTTGTTTTCTCACCGCTGTCATTTTTGTTGTTGAAAGGAAAGCTTGCAGCACATATTTACATAATCATCTAAATGTGGGCGGCGTCTGGATGGTCGCTTTTTTATCCCCCTAAGCCAAGAATGAGTATATCTGGGCCTTTGTTATGTGCTTTATTATATCAGTCATAGTGAAACCATTTCAGCAATAACATAAAATAAATACAATAAAATGTAAATGTGTTATGGCCAAAGCAACACCCTGTAAAACTCTTTCTGTAAATTCTACAGCTGCCACTTTTGTCCGTACTATGCAAGAATCATGAGCAAATAACTAAAGTAATAAGCAGTGCTACTCTGCATAAAACATCTGGGAAATGTACTGATACTAAACGAGAAAAAGTTAGTGTCTATTAGTCGTAAATACTACTAACGAATTAATCAAGTTAGTAATAAGAAACAATGCAGGCAACACTTTTTAAAACCGTATTATATTTTACATTATATACTACCCGGACAAAAAAAAAAAGTCACTGTTTGGATTTAAATAAGCAAGATATTACAAGATCTTAACCAGAAATTGATGCACCTCTCAATGGAAATAAATGTTGTGATGTTATTTTCATCAAGAGGTGCATCACTTTTTGGTCAAGATCTTGTATTGACAATGCAAGAGTCCAGCACTCTGTAAAGTCTCCTCCAGCACATCCCAAAGACTTTCAATGAGTTTAAGATCTGGACTCAGAGGAGACGATTCATGTGTGAAAATGATTCTTCATGCTCCTCACAACCATTCTTTCACAGTTTGATCCTGATGAATCTTGACATTGTCCTCCTGGAGTATTGCCATGATGCGTCTTCCTACGTGGTTGTTAAAGAAATGAAAATCTATACACTCCATCAATTAGGGTTAGAAGAACTGTTGCCAGACATATAACATGCTAGAAACATTGCATTTATGATTCAATCATAAACTCTTAAGCATTTGCCTATTTAAATCCAAACAGCGAGGCCGGGCAGTGTATAATGCTTTTGTTAATAAACACTCGAATACTTTGAAATGTCTAGGAATTACTGATAATGTTAACTTTTATTTAATGTTTTGAAATGACAGTTGATATAAATAAGTAGGTATGATTTTGTATTAATTCAGGGTTTAACTTCTACTGATGGTGTGACAGGAAAAGAGGCCTGTCTAATCAAAGGCAACATAAGCAACAAAGATTTTCCTTAATGTTTACATGATGTTTTTGCACTGGTACCTTTGTAAAACGTTCTATTCTTTACACACACAAAAAAGAGCAGAATATACTCGTTTGATGAAAATCTGTATTTGTGTTTCATCAGGTGTTACAGGAGAACTTGAGCTTTGTATTTTTTTCAATAAAAAAGTGCTTGATGCTTCACGAGATTTACTGTAGCTCATTTAACAGTTCAACTTTCCTTAGAATCTTTTCCATCATCCGCCCACAAACACTCCTTGTTCTCTTTCCAGCAAGGCTGCCCAGACTCATATATTTCCTGAAAAGAACAAAATAATTACAAACATGTTGTAAACAATTGCACAAGAGAAATGATTACACTTTGATGGCAATAATTAACACGTTACAAGTTGTTATTATATAACTATAATTTCGGTATCACTAAATTTCAGGGTGACAGTTTCGCATTACTACATGTACTTAATTACAAGTAACCATTACCGTAGCTCTAAAGTTAATTAACATTACTCTGTACTTACTCAAATAAGTACTATGTTACTGTCACCTTAAAATAAAGTGTAACCATCATTTCTTATAAAGAAACAAAAAGTCAGTGTTCTACAAACAGGGTATACTGTCAAGTCTTAAAACTTTATCACTTTAATACTTAATAAAGTTAATTATACTTAATAGAGGCACAAATAACCTTTTTTTTTTTTTTTTTTTTTTTGAAAACTATTTGCTTATATACCACCATATATACCAACCTAGCATGGAAACTAGCTGGACAAATGGCTGTTTTCTGAGTTTTTGACCTTCTCAACTGTATCCAATAATTATAACCATAAGTCATGATACACACTTTATAATTCTAATGATTAAATTTGTAATATTTGCCCTGTTAAAAATTCCTTAACCCTTTATGACCTGCCATAGAACAATTCCACCAGAGTATATCTTTGTATTTTTACATGCTGTGCTGTCATTCTTTTGAGCATTTTCATATGCCATACATCAAAATAATCCTTACTCTCCCAATTTGAAGGCTATGTTTGTAAAAAATCAATAGTAACTAGATAAATATCTCAAAAGTGCAATAAACAAAAAGAAAAACAATTTTAATTATTTATTTTTTACATATTTTATTCAATACAAAAAATGGATAAATGTCAACCTCAAACTTGTCAATGTGAAAAACGTGCATAAAACAATTTAAAACTATACAGAATTGATTTGAACTGTTTACATAAATTAGTTAAGATACACTCATTTTTACACTCATTCAAAAAAAGGGAGGGGAAATGCCATGTAAAATATTCAATTACATTTGTGGTCAAACAGATAACATTTTGCTTTTGAATATTGATTGGACATTGAATTGGTTAAAATATAAAATAAATAGATGAGCAGACGTATAGTTCATCGGACGCAATTAGTATTTTCAAAACCTCCGCGTCCGTGTACTTTCGTTTAGACATAACGTTGCGTGCGCGCACGCACGTGTGTGTGTGTGTGTGTGAATGTGCTTGTATTTGTGAGTGTCTAAAGGAGAAAGAAATGATCAAATAAAGCAATGGTAAAAAGACAATAACGATAAGGAGGAACATATAGCAAATGGGAGTCAAACGTGCGATTTTTTTTTTTTTTTTTTTTAAACCACTTTAGCGGAAATCCCGCCCTGCAGCCGATTTCATTGGTTTAGGTTACAGTGATGACGGGTAGGTTTAGGGATCAGTGTTTGGTGTAGGCAATCTGTACAGTGATTGACATGAGCAATGAAAACTTTAGAATCGGCTACAGGGGGGGATTTCCGCTGAAGTGGTTTGGGAAAAAAAAAATCACGCGAGTCAAACGCATGGTCAAATGACGCAGCTTGTGACGTCACAACATGCGACACACCCAGGGGTCATAGTGCACAGAACGTGATGCGTCAATGAGCCATCGGAAGACGTAACTATCAATCGCAGATCTACAGAACATGTGTGCAAAGACGTGCAATGCATTTTTGTGTTTTTTTTTTTTGTAAACGCATATTACGCAGTTTGTACAGACTGATTAGAGGGTGAAAACAACGCAACATGGGCATGTTGGAGGCTTGATCTGAACATGTTACATCTCTGGTTTTGTATGCAAAAAGAATGATTGAGCTAGCAATTTGGTTTCAGTTTCTATAGGCTTTTAAACAGACACACGCGTCGGTCTTAAAGGGTTAAAGTAACATTTCATGTTGTACTATCACTTAAAATACAACATGGCAGGAAGACAAAACTCATTATTATTTACACAAATTGTGTCAACTGCATTTGTCAACCTTATTACTACGTTTGCAAGGAAAAGTGATTCATTAAATATTGTCCAAAACTTACTGTAAACTTAAGTTTATTAATAACTACCAAAAAGCATTTGGAAAAAGCATCTCCTCCTTTTAATGACCATTTGTTAAAAAAATAAATATGTGTACCTATCTAGGGTAACACAGAAGTCATGCACTACTAGGTCTATTCATACCTTTTTCCAGATTGGTACAGTGGCTTTGAGTGTGTCGATGCCGTACTTCACCGCCTCCAAGGACTCACTTCTGTGCGGTGATGAGATCCCTATTATAACGCTTGCTTCTGTTATAGGAACCACACTGTGGACAGAGCAGGGAAAGAACAAACATATTCTTTACATGTAAAAATATCAAGCAATGAACTCTCGTTATCTAAACAAACTGTGAGACTCACCCAAGTCTGTGTTGTATGCTGATATGTCTGACGCTGGGCCACTTTGTCCTGATGTCACTGCAGATCTTCCTCAGTTCTGACTCTGCCATCGGAATGTATGCCTCATATTCAAGACGTATTACTTTCTTTCCCTCAAAATGATCTCTGGTAGTCCCTGAAAAAGGAGATTACATTCGAATCCTTCATTTCACCCTTCTGCTCTGGAAGGTGCATGTGCTTGTTGGAGGGACCAGGGTCTGCTGATGAATTGTAATGAATTTGTGTTTCTAAAATGTTTAAATTAATCATAAACAAAAACAATTATATGTATCTGTAAGAAAGCCAACTCTAAACAGAAGCAATGATCCAACTACAAAAGACTGACCAATAAACAGAGATATAGCGCCACAGGAGGGACACGTCACAGATTCAGAGACGCCATCAGCAGAAAGCTTGTCCGTCGTGAGTGTAATTAGATCTTGACCCTGATCTGCTGCCATACCTTTAAAAAAACAGAAAACATTCATTTAAACAAAAGAAATGTATGTATGTACAAAAAACATGTTAATATAGATGCATACATACAGAGAGACAGGTAGGCTATCAGATTTGATGCTAACCTTGGTAATTCGTTTACCCTCCACTAAGGGGTGGTATGATGGCCACCTCGTCTCCCTCTCTGAGGGTCAAGGGCTGAGCACCCAGAGGCACGTACTCCTGCCGCACTGCCAGGACCACCTGATCCCGTAACACAGACAGTCTGGCAAACAGGACAAAATCTCAGTAAAATCTCATCAGATTCAGAACATAATGAATAAAACATTTTTAAAAAAAATGTAACATGCTCAATCAGAAAATAATAGGTTACAACAGATCATTTGTTATTCTAAGCATTATTTATATGATTTATAGCATGTATAGTACAATACAATTTAAACAAGTCTTCAGAAGGCAAAGAAAGACACTTGTCCATATGCATTAAATATTTTACACTGGAAATACCCAATATTATTACATGAAACACACACACACACACATATATATATACAGGTCCTTCTAAAAAAATTAGCATATTGTGATAAAGTTCATTATTTTCCATAATGTAATGATAAAAATTAAACTTTCATATATTTTAGATTCATTGCACACCAACTGAAATATTTCAGGTCTTTTATTGTTTTAATACTGATGATTTTGGCATACAGCTCATGAAAACCCCAAATTCCTGTCTCAAAAAATTAGCATATCATGAAAAGGGTCTCTAAACAAGCTATTAACCTAATCATCTGAATCAACTAATTAACTCTAAACACCTGCAAAAGATTCCTGAGGCTTTTAAAAACTCCCAGCCTGTTTCATTACTCAAAACCGCAATCATGGGTAAGACTGCCGACCTGACTGCTGTCCAGAAGGCCATCATTGACAACCTCAAGCAAGAGGGTAAGACAGAAAGAAATTTCTGAACAAATAGGCTGTTCCCAGAGTGCTGTATCAAGGCACCTCAGTGGGAAGTCTGTGGGAAGGAAAAAGTGTGGCAAAAAACGCTGCACAATGAGAAGAGGTGACCGGACCCTGAGGAAGATTGTGGAGAAGGACCGATTCCAGACCTTGGGGGACCTGCGGAAGCAGTGGACTGAGTCTGGAGTAGAAACATCCAGAGCCACCGTGCACAGGCGTGTGCAGGAAATGGGCTACAGGTGCCGCATTCCCCAGGTCAAGCCACTTTTGAACCAGAAACAGCGGCAAAAGCGCCTGACCTGGGCTACAGAGAAGCAGCACTGGACTGTTGCTCAGTTTTGCATGTCATTCGGAAATCAAGGTGCCAGAGTCTGGAGGAAGACTGGGGAGAAGGAAATGCTAAAATGCCTGAAGTCCAGTGTCAAGTACCCACAGTCAGTGATGGTCTGGGGTGCCATGTCAGCTGCTGGTGTTGGTGCACTGTGCTTTATCAAGGGCAGGGTCAATGCAGCTAGCTATCAGGAGATTTTGGAGCACTTCATGCTTCCATCTGCTGAAAAGCTTTATGGAGATGAAGATTTCATTTTTCAGCACGACCTGGCACCTGCTCACAGTGCCAAAACCACTGGTAAATGGTTTACTGACCATGGTATTACTGTGCTCAATTGGCCTGCCAACTCTCCTGAACTGAACCCCATAGAGAATCTGTGGGATATTGTGAAGAGAAAGTTGAGAGACGCAAGACCCAACACTCTGGATGAGCTTAAGGCCGCTATTGAAGCATCCTGGGCCTCCATAACACCTCAGCAGTGCCACAGGCTGATTGCCTCCATGCCACGCCGCATTGAAGCAGTCATTTATGCAAAAGGATTCCCGACCAAGTATTGATTATTGAGTGCATAACTGAACATAATTATTTGAAGGTTGACTTCTTTTTTTTGTATTAAAAACACTTCTTTTATTGGTCGGATGAAATATGCTAGTTTTTTGAGACAGGAATTTTGGGTTTTCATGAGCTGTATGCCAAAATCATCAGTATTAAAACAATAAAAGACCTGAAATATTTCAGTTGGTGTGCAATGAATCTAAAATATATGAAAGTTTAATTTTTATCATTACATTATGGAAAATAATGAACTTTATCACAATATGCTAATTTTTTTTAGAGGGACCTGTATATATATGAAGACTTCAGATGCAAAGGCCTCTAAGTCCGTTTAAAGTTTTTGTTTAATACTGACATTTTTATCGGGCTCCTATGTATAGGTTTCTACCCAAGTACCGAGATTTCTGAGGCTGGGATTTAGTGAGTTTGAAGTGAAAGTATTTGATGAACGGAGAGCATTCACTCAATATTATTATCTCATTTTTGACAGAGGTGGCTTTTAGAGGCTTTTGCATCGGAGGTCTTCATATATATGACATGATAAAATTAGTTAACATTTATGCCAGAAAGTAACATTATAAATATGTATTACTTTATTATGAATAATAATACACACATAATAACAATTATTGCGTCATATAATTAATATTATAAGTAAAAATATATATTATATAACAAAAATAATTACCATATGTAATACTGATATAACATTTATAACAATGTGAAGTTGTACACTGCACAGGAGCGCAACGCATAAACAAAGTCTCTCTGGTTGTTGGACTGACGGCATCTGTTTGATTATAATGCGTCGATCACTTGCAGTGCAAATAGCACTGATTTAAAAATTCTACAAAAGTATTAATATAGTTGTGATAATAATTCACCTCGGATGTCTGGTCTCCAAATCCTGCCACAGCTGTAGAGATGTTATGTTTGACGGAACAGTGATGTTCTCCGCCTTAAGTCCCGTTAATTCGGCACTTTTTGCAAAGTACAGAACCGACACCTGCATAACGTGTAGATATATGGGCTATTATGACAATTTCGAAACTGTTGCCAAAACATTGAAGTTTATTGAATGCCATTACGTGATCTAAATCTGATTCGTTTTTTTTATTTTTACTTGCAGGTGACTGATCAGATAATGTAATATTATGTGATATAATTTAATAATGTAATATTTCAAAAGCAGACTTACCTCGGTATTCATGTATGTACATTGGCCAGACACACGTGTAAAGTTCAAACACTCGCAGCGCGTGCTTCTGCTGTCAGCTCGAGGCTCCAGCTCGTCTTCCTCAAAGCCCGAATCCCATTGGTTCTGCTTCAGGTCAGCTGACTCATGGCCAGGAAACAGACAGATCATGCAATTGTTTATTCAGGAATTCAGTCAACCTTATAAAGGCTTAAAATTTAATTTGATAAATTCGCACTTTTACTCCTCTATTATGTATTCTATAAGATTGTATCATTGTATCCTATCCTGGCTTTATCCTATTTAACCCGTTCCTGAAATTAGCTCCGCATTTCCATCATTCACCGGCAGATGTCTCCAAATCCAAATTCACATGTCCAACTGGGCCATTCACCAACCCCAAATATAATGTATAAAGCACTTTCTTAACGGTTTACTATATTTAGAGACTCGTGTAAAAAACTACATACATATATAACATTTCTAAGCTTCAAGTATACAAGAAAAATAAAATAAAAACAACGGATCAAACGCACGCCTCGCCATTATTAAACAGCCGATGGCTGTTGTTGTTCAGTAAGACGATTCTGTGTGGCATTCGATCAATCCAGTGACATCTCTAACCACAGACCACAGCTGTGCAACGTATGTCCCCGTTTCACAGTGATATTTATTAGCAACGTGTGGGACACACTTGCAGAGTCTTGCTTGCATTTCTCCCAATTTTCCGACAGAGGGACAGCAAGGCAGCGGCTACCTCAGACATATCTGGCAAGCCGCTTCAACATTTATTTCTTAAAACTAGTATCTATTTTATGTTACCAGTAGGCCTACTAAGTCACCATGAAATCAAAATTGACCATTCTTTTTTTTTATGGAATATTGCCGTGTTTAGTATAAATGATTTATCTGTGCATATCATTTTTTAAAATCCATGTACCATTGTAATCTTTATTCAAAATAACTTCCCCTCCCTCTTGCAGCTCATTTCTCCCCTGATGACGTGTTTACTGGCAGGAGGGCAGGGTAACCTGTAACCTCTCACTCACATGAGATCCAGCAAACCACAATCCAATCAATTCTGGACAAAATCAAGTAATGCCCTACATTTGTTCTTGTTCGAGAAGCCGTTTAAATCGGCTTAACATTCCTGAGCCACAATCCTTATTCTGAATTCAATGCCGAAAAATGTCCTACTAGTTGAAGTCACTTGTCAGTATTGAGTAATTAGAAGCAAATAAGGAATAAGTACGACACGTTAAAATAAAGGTTCCAAAAGGGTGTTTTCGGATAGCGATCCAACAGAAGAACTATTTTCAGTTCCTCAAAGAACCTTTCAGTGAACAGTTTTTAAAAGAATATTTTCTTCTTAGGGCTTTTATGAGATTCCGTGGATGTTAACGGTTCTTCATGGAACCACAGAAGCCAGTAAAGAACTTTTATTTTTAAGAGTGTAGTATCTGATAAGAACTTATTTGCATGGACGTAACAGCTCATCTAAACACCTGGTCTACACTGCAAGTTCACGACGTCAGCAGCATCACAGGAGTTTGTCGTGTCGCGTCACTAGTTGTGTAGACGGGGTGTAACTCAACACCCTGATTGCTTCCTTTTGAAGGAGGATTTGTTGTGCTATATTTACAGGTTTGACCCTGGGGAGGACCAAACAACTGTCTCAACTATTCTTAGAATGACCGTATCCTTGAGTCTATTAATACCCATCAGAATTCACAGTAATAGACCACTTTAAAAGATTAACGCTTATCGTCCAAACTGAAATGGATGGAAAACTTTGTGGATCAAAGCAGAGGACTCAAATTAGTTCATATGAATCCCACGGCATGGAGATGCTGTTGCATTGATGGACATATTGTCCATTCATATTGTCTGGTTTGCTGTACAAACAGCTATATTCACTGATAAAGAGTGAACTATTTTATTTTTAAGTGACAGTTTATAGTAATCCAGTAGTTCATTATGTTAGATCATAATTTTGTGTTCAGCATTTACGTGTAAAAACTGACTTTAACTTCTACTATTTGATATTCTAGGCTTTTTTTTTAACAAATCAGCAAAAATCCAGTAATTTCTGAAACATTTTTATGTATTAGGCTATATTATGTATTTTGATAGACATTTTTTAATAAATAATACATAAAATTCCAAGTTAGGCATCAGCCCTGTTAACTATAACTTACCTTATCTGTATAATACTGTACAATTTCATAACTAAAAAATATCTCATAATAACAGTCTCATCCCATTGTGAACTCTCTTTCATCATCTTATGTTGGTCGGCTGGTGTGATATTAAATAGTCAACCCTGCTACCAAGTTGCCATGATTTTACAGTTAAATTTGCAGGAATATCCATAAATTTAAACCTAATTTCCCTTTCTTGTAGACACCTTTCAAGACCTCGAGCACAGGGCTAGTAATGACAATAGAAATATAAAACTGTCAGCCCTGTTACTTTGGGCACAGCTCTATTCCAACGTATATTACATTTGGTTACATATATTACATTAATTATGCATTTAAGTAAAGTGTAATAATAATTAACCATGTGTACTTATAGGGTTAGGGTTGGGATTGGGGTGTGGTTTAGGGTTAGTTGCATGTAATTATGCGTGATTTGTAACCACATGTAACTTATGTAACAAGGACACTGTAAAATAAAGTGTTACCTTACATTTTATTTATTCTCAGATGGCACTTCCCAATGTATTAACACTGAGCACTTGAATTTTCTGAGAATATTTACAATCCTACAATCAAAGTTTTTTTTTTAAATCTTTTTTTAATCACGTCAAAAATAAACTATTTATTCTGTAATTTAGCATAACCGGGTTCTGTTTGAGATACAGTTCAAACACAAAGTTTGGCATATGTTGAGAGAAACTATTTGTATCAAATAACTGTTGTAATAATCAGCCTGTTATCCACAATAAATGCAAACAGACCCCCAAATCACTTTGCTGCTGTTATCCAACTCTTTGAACCCTATTAAAAACATAGCCCCAAATCATAATGTTGCTCTTGAGAGGAGAAAGTTTCTAGACTTACAAATGTCACCTGATAAATGTCGGTGGGCAAACTATTACAATGCTCTCCCCACCCCCTATGAAGTATGAAGACCGCCCACCACAGGCATCCAACTCGAGACCCCTTATAGATTTAAAAAGCGAGACGGATTCAGTGTGTATGACAGTCACTGAGTGCGAAGCATCGGGAGAACATCTGTCTGTCTGTAGTCCGTCTGTCTCCACTTTTTCTGAGGATGCTACAGTTACCGCGGCTCCGCCAGGGCGTGATCGCGCTTCTCATATGGTTCGCGCACTTGATGGAACAGCAGAAAGTACAAGGTAAAGTGACATTTATGCTTTGCGAGCTGTCTTAATAGTCTGAATGAGGAATATTATGCAGTGTTAAAACCATTAATGCATTGACTTGGACTTGAGAAGGTTGAATGGTGCGTTTGCGCGCTGGCGCCTCTCATGCGTAAAAACTAAAAACATATAAGTGAACTTGTTTTCAAGACACCTAGCTGTTATAATTTATAGTCGAAACTCATTAGAAAAGGAACCATGTCTTTGCAGGCACCTTACTGATCTTTAAGTGATTGATATTTTTAGATGATGTTAAACTTTGTGCAGTAAGTGGGGTATTTTTTTTTCTCTCCATTTATTATGTTTATAATGGCATTATGTCTAAACGGTTGAGCATGTTTCCGTGCAAGGCACAAAACGCTTGCACAACCTCAATATATTGTTTCTGAAGAGTTTGAGTGGATTCAGATGGCAGAAGGACTCTCTGAACATTTGGAATTTCAACCCAAGTAAAAAAAAAAAAATCATTTTCAAATGTTTGTTTGATCTTTTACCTGGATCCAGCAAAAATCTATGGGTATTTTATAGTCTTACAGCAACCTGGCACTAAAGATGCAACCAGATATTCAATATTGAGGTGACCCAAGGTGAAAAATTAAGAATCGGTCATTGACTGTATTGATTGTCCGACGTGGTTATGAGCACTAACTGTCTCCAATTAGCTACATTCTATTATATTGAGTGATAAATGAGCAGAATAGTATTCAGCCTGTATGAGGGGGTAATAAAGTGACTCTTTCCAGCTGGCAACTGCTGGCTTCAGCAGGGCAAGAACGGGAGATGCCAGGTTCTGTACATGTCTGGGATGAGCCGGGAAGACTGTTGTAGAAGTGGTCGTCTGGGCACGGCGTGGACCGAGGAGGATGTACCCAATAACACACTCTTCCGGTGGCTGATCTTCAATGGCGGCGCACCAAACTGCATACCTTGCAAAGGTACTGCACAAGAGTGTTTTCATCATTTGGATGACTGGAAGTAATCTGGAAGAAGCTAAACATTTCAAATTTGATTTCGATGGTATATAGCATATACATAGTGCAACCCTTTGTCAGTCAGAAAGTACATGACCACGTTTAAAACACAAATATTTATACAGAACTGATATGTCAGTTATTTATAACCTTCTTTATTGATTCTACAGAGACTTGTGATAATGTGGACTGTGGTCCTGGAAAGAGGTGCAAAATGAACAAGCGGAATAAGCCACGCTGCGTGTGCGCTCCAGACTGCTCCAATGTCACCTTTAAAGGGCCCGTGTGTGGCTCCGATGGGAAAACGTACCGGAACGAGTGTGCACTCCTTAGGGCCAAGTGCAAGAGACACCCTGACCTGACTGCGCAGTACCAGGGAAAATGCAAAAGTACGGTCACTCAAGAGAAAAAGAAAACAAAATGTACTTGACTGATTAGTTTTGTTGCGCACAAATCATAGGCGTACATTCTTCCAAAGAAAAAAGAATGTCTTTGTAATCTTCAATCCATAAAATAATAACCTGCTCTGCCTCTGAAACAACTTTTTTACCGGTGACACCACATGCGTTTATTGGATAATATAGGATTTACAATTTTTAACATTAGTTAACTGACTTAGTTAGCATGAACTAAGAATGAACAATACTTCTTCAGCATTTATAAATCTTAGTTAATATTAATTTCAACATTTACTAATACATTATTAAAATCAAAGGTTGTATTTGTTAACATTAGTTAATGCACTGTGAACTAACATGAACAAAGATGAATAAAAACAGTTACATATGTATTGTTCGTTGTTAGTTCATGTTAGTTAGGCTAATACATGAACTAATGTTAACTATTTAACCTTATTGTAAGTGTTAGCGGAGCAATTTTCAGTTACATTCTTTTAATTAACACCCACTTTTAATCCAATGAATATGGAAAATTGAAGTCCCAAACTAAATTTTTCACAGAATATCCTTTTTCTCCTAGAAATACGTCACATTACAGAAGTTAAATGGTGGCGAATGTCACTAAGCAAGGCTTAAATCTCGAACTAAAATGTGCATTAAAATGAACAGAATGATAACTTGCTAGTAATTGACCTTCATGTCTGATAACTTCATGTCTTTCTAATAAAAATATTATGCCCAGCAAAATATATATATAGAGAGAATAAATAAAAGATATTATTTTATGCATAAGCTAGGTTTAAATCAGTGTGTAAAAGCTTGTTAGCTGCAGAAGCTGCCAATTTTGACAGGTTTTTATTTTTCGACAGAGTCTTGCTATGACGTGCGTTGTCCTGGAAGCTCGACATGTGTACTGGACCAGACCAACAACGCCTACTGCGTGACCTGCAACCGGCTTTGCCCTGAGGTGACCTCGCCGGAGCAGTACCTGTGCGGGAATGACGGGATCGTGTATGCCAACACCTGCCATCTCCGAAGGGCCACGTGCATCATGGGACGCTCCATCGGAGTAGCCTATGAGGGGAAATGCATAGGTGAGAATAAGACAAAAATCTTGCGCTTGCACAATCCTCCTTAAACATGTGGTTCTCATTACTCTGTTTTCTGTTGCAATAACACATTCATGTTTCACATGGGTAGAAGTGACTGTTGCTGCTTTTCTGCGTTATTTAATACCTCCTCAAACCACACTGAGTGAAACAAGACTAAAATTAACATTCAATGTGGCCCAAAGAAGTGGTTTTACACAAAGTGAAATCATATTTTTTGGGATAACTTCCTCATTTGGTTCGTCTACTATGCTTCAGACGCCAGGTCCTGTGAAGACATCAAATGCCGTGAGGGACGGAAGTGTCTGTGGAATAAGCGTACGGGACGGGGACTGTGTGCGGCGTGCGAGGAGGACACCTGTCCCGAGAGTCGACCGGGCGACAGCGTGTGCGCCAGCGACAACGTCACCTACCCGAGCGAGTGCGCCATGAGGCAGGCCGCCTGCTCTTTGGGCCTCGTCCTGGAGGTCAAACACTCGGGCTCCTGCAACTGTAAGTAGAGGATGCTAAGCCTGGCCGCACCCTTGTCCCGCATTCCCACCCCCTGCCAGATAAACACCCCTCTTTCTTACCCCTCCCACTCCCAAAAAGGAACACATGGACTGTCAGAGAGCATGTATTCGGCTTCCTCTCGCAAAGACATTCTGTGTTTTAACTCAGAGGCAATGAGACGTCCTGATGCATTAGAAGTGTCCAGGACGGTGCAGATGTTCTCTTGCTCATCTATTGATGTCTTAAATGAAGTTAAGCCGAAATCTTTGAGGGTCAAGCCTGGAAGGATTTCTGTTTGGGATGCGAGACAGTTCTGAACATGCCGCCGCTCCTCCGCAATGGTTACACTATCTGTGCGTCAGAGACAGAAACGTGACGAGTTTCATGTGGAAATTACATAGGGACGTAAACTCACTTAGCGTGCTCTGTTTTGTGTTGTCTCTGCCTGTGGCTGACCGGCTCAGCGATGATCGCGTGATACAGATGGGCATGTGTGTTATGGACAAAGAAAAGCAAACCTGTTGCCGTTATGGTGCACGCTCAGAAATATACCAGTGTTTGGGGCAAAAATACCACTGAAAGTGACAAAAATGCCCTATAAATGTAAAATACGGGGGCAAAAAAAGGTTTTTAACATGTATTTTAATACATAGATATATTTCTGACATATATTTGAATTGAAGTTCTTGAAATGGTTGGTATGCTGTGTGTGTGTGTGTGTGTGTGTGTGTTTTATATGGTTTAGAAATACATGCCCAGAAAATCAATTCCAAGAGGCAAATATTGTCCGCGGAATTTAATTTCTGACCCCAGCTAACATCTTTGTCTATCATCTTTATGTAATAAAGGGAAACTCAACCATTTTTTTTCACTGTAGATTTGTTATGTCCATTTTGCGCAATGTGAAAATATTATTTCACTTACCGTACTCTTTGTTTTCTAAGTATTCTTTAATGAAAAAAGCCACTTGAGGGCCGTTCACACCAAGAAGGACGATAACTATAAAGATAACGATAAGGATTTTTTTAGGCACAGAAATGATATTCCCTTACGCAAAGAAAATATATTTCCATATATTTATGATCTATATATTAAATGGTTTAAATAAATTGGAAAATATATGGAATAATAAAATCCATTAATATACTACAATATATTGAATAATGTTGATTAATGTGCATGTCGAAAACATGTAAAGTCTAATTGGTCAAACACAAATTAGTTGAGTTCAAAATACTGAGTTCTAAATTCTCATGCAAATAGTTGCCTCAATTCTTTTGAGTTACACCAATGCAATATTTTTTACAGTGTGTGGAAACTGATTGCCTTAAATTTCGCAAACATAATGCATTCTCAAACAAAATATTGCCTTGGTTTAACTAAAAAAATAATTGAGGCAACTATTTGCATGAGAATTGAGTATTTTGAACTCAACTAATTTGTGTTTGACCAATTAGACTTTACATGTTTTCAACACGCACCCTTAAGTAATACCAACACAACTTTTCTAGCAGAAACATAACTCAATTGACTGAAAGTAACTCACGTAAAGAGTAAATATATTGTCACATATTTTTCAACATATGAAAAGCAGCACTTCCTTATGTATTATTCAATGTAATGTAATATATTGTTCTGTATATTTTTCAGTATATTTACATTTTTTCCGTAAAGGTCGCTGGAATCGCTTTCATAACGATTTTATCCAGCTGAACGATAAAAACATTGACAGCCAATCAGAATCCATCCCGTAACAAGCTCAAGCATTTAAAGTGACAGACAAGCGAGCACCTAGAATAAACAGAACGATGTCGTCCGCTGCTGTGGACGCTAATATAGTTATCGCTATCGTTCTTGGTGTGAACATACCTTTACTCTTCACGTAAAATGTTTCTAGACAAGGTCACTTCTTTTGTTCTAACCTTATACTGGTTCAAATGTGGGACATAACAAATCTCATGTGGAAAAAATGTGATTTTATGTTTTGTATGAACATGTTCAGATGGTTCAGTGATAAGTTAGAACATTTGTTAACCTTAAAGTAGAACCATCTTTAACCAGCCCGAGTCTGTGTGTGGTATTCGTCATCTTCCACAAAAGCAATATCTTTGTTTATAAGAAGGGATCACGTAATGTCTCTTTGCTTGATTTTATTCGATTCTGTACAATGACTTGACAAATACAAGAAATTGCCTCCGCTAATAAAAGACAGAGGTAAGGCCCCATTCCACAGAGAAATTCAATCCCAGGCTCTCCTTCAACCCTCAGCTGTGATCCCGCAAAGCATTGTTAGAGATGCTTTGGGAGAAAGATGCAAGAAGTCATGCAGTAAAGACTCTGTGCCTGAATGCTGTTGTGTTTTATACTAATGCAACAGTTGCTATATTCCTCCGCAGCGCTCTCAGAAGAGACGGACGAAGAGGAGGATGATGAAGATTACGCGGATTATAGCCATGTGTCTCTGTTACTGACTGGATAAATCACATTCAACAGCAGGACTCCATTTAAGCACAGAGTCATGTTCATATTGTACATACATGTACTCTTATTTATTTTCCGCAGACATGTGGAAGATGCTTATTGTTCTAGATGTTTATTTATACATTTTTGTCTTCTTATTTATACATTTATAGTCCGAATAAATGAACTGTCTACCGTCTTTTCTTTGTCGTCTTTGGAAGAATATTATTTATTATAATGTGCAATGTAACTCTGTATGTGTTTTGAAAAGTTTGTGAAGAAAAAAAAGCTTAAACAGTTTTTGTCATCCTCCCAAATGGAATATCTGCAGCAAAACTTGCATGTGTTTTATTTATTTGCAATCTAATGTTCACTAATAATGTATTAAGCGTAGATCTGCTTCGGTTTACAATCAAAGCTGACAAAAGCAGCCTTTTCAGTAAAGTCTATGTATGATTTTGACACATACACCAAAAACAGTGGTTTTATTTGACAGAAAAAACGTTGGAATCAATGCATTGTGTTTTATAAAATCGAAATATACCCTTGATGTTATTTTCTTGCCTATACGTTGCCTGTTTTTACGTGGGTTCTCAGACAAAGGAATCGTTTATCATATAGTGTATATAATTAACAATATCGATCTTAGCATTGTTTTCTTGCCATTTATTGTCTTTTTTATTTTAGAGATCCAGCTATAAATTTATAGTTTTGTATTTGTTTGTAAATGTTTAATGTATATAAAGTTAATGATGCCATTTGTAAAGATGCAGTATAAAGAGTAAAATCTGAAAAATCTACTTCAGTTACTGAGAGTATTATTCCGAAATGTGTGAAGTGTAAATCTTGTCATTTTAAATCTATGATCCAATGTTGGGATTTTGAAAATTCTTTCAGAACGTAATTGGCCCTGACCTTGAATCCTTAAAGTGGGAATTTGTTATTCCATGCTAGTCACAAACAGATTGATCTGAACACACACACACACACACACACACACGCACACACACACACACACACACACACACACCAATCAAGTTCTGCAGAAGCCACCGGAACTGTCTGAGCTGCAGTGGAGAAACTAATTTGCCAGGAAGTTTCACAGACGGCTAATTGTAAAGGAGAGCGTCACCACCTCTTTTGCTTTGCAAGGCTTCATTAGACGCTTATCGTTAATTCAAACCCACAGAGATGTTTTTCAGACAGTGTGGGAAAACTATACAGACGCCTTTGTATATCAGCATTTCTTTCTAGACTCTAAAGAACAGTTCACACCAAGGACGACATCTATAAAGTTAACGATAAAGATATACTGTAGGTTTTCCTTACATTTTCTACATATAAAAGAATAGCAGAGTTCACACCACAATCATAACAACAACGGATATTGTATAAGTCAATTTCAAAGCGATTTTTCCGGCTGATGAACAACAGCCAATCAGAGTACAGCTGATTTAAGAGCGCGAGCATTTAAACTGGCAGACGACATTTTAGGATACCGTTGACGCTAATATTATCATTATAATTAGCCTTCTTGGTGTGAATGGGCTTTAAAGGTTTAGTTCACCCAAAAATCACCCTCAAGTCATCCCAGGTGTTTATGAATTTCTTCTTTCAGCCAAACACAATAGGAGTTATATATTTTTTAAAAACAGGCTCTTCCAAGCTTTATAATGGGAATGAATGGTACCTTAGATTTTGAAGCCAAAAAAGTGCATCCATCCATCATAAGAGTAATCCATACGGCTCCAGGGGGTTAATAAAGGCCTTCTGAAGCGAAGCGATGCGTTTTTGTAAGATAAAATATCCTTATTTAAAACTTTATAAAATATAATCACTGGCCTCCGGAAACGGCCGTACGCGCGATCACAAGAGAGTCGAGTTCTGACCTCTGACCCGACGTATGACGTGGGACGTAGCGTAAGCTTGAATTGACAAAGGAGGAAGCGCATAGGACACAGCAAAACAAAATGGTGATCACGAATAAGAAGTCTAAACCAAGAAGTTAAAAAAAAAACAAATGTCAAAGGATTTCGCTATAAAAGAAGAGGAGGTCCTTTATAAGTCGGGTCAGAGGTCACTCTTCCGCCAGAACTCGTCTCGGACGTTTCCGGAAGCTAGTGTTTATAGTTTATAAAGTTTTAAATATGGATATTTTTCTTACAAAAACGAATCGCTTCGCTTCAGAAAACCTTTATTAACCCCCTGGAGCCGTATGGATTACTTTTATAATGGATGGATGTGCTTTTTGGACCTTAAAAAAACTCAAGACACCATTCACTCCCATTACAAAGCTTTGAAGAGCCAGGATATTATTTAATATAACTCAGATTGTGTTCGGCTGAAAGAATTAAGTCATATACACCTAGGATAGCTTGAGGGCGAGTAAATTATGGGATAATATTCATTTTGGGGTGAACTAAATGAAGCTATTCACAAACAGCCCCAGTGATAATTTACTTTGGCTTCACTGAAACTAAAGTAAGTGTAAGGTGAGGTCTGTCTGTGCTGGCAGGGATGATCTCTCTTCTCTCGCGGGACAGCTGAATCAGCAGTGGGCAGGGGGAATACGGGCGCCCGGTCCCGCTGATACCTGCTGAGCAGCATCTGTGATAGCGCAGAGACAGCGAAGAGTAATCATATCTGAAATGACTGCAACGAGGAAGATGGTAATCAGGAGTGAACACGGTGTCACTGTCTCAAGCTTGTTTTGGAAAAATAGCAGGCTGCCACTGTAACGATGTTAAGAAACAGCTGACATTACATGAGAGAGGAGAGACTTTTTCCCATTGTTATGCTGATAGAGTTGAAATCCCTTGACATTAATAAGGATTTATATTTGAGTTATTTTGTGGAATATTAGATCATTTGGAAAGAAATCCCTTCCTATGTAGTATTTTTGTCCAGTTAAAAAAAAAAACTTAAAAAAACGTGCAAGATCTATCCTAATGTGTGCCAAAGTGAATTGTTATGCAACTCTTCAACAGAATTTAATTCTGGCTGTCAAGCTCCAAAAAGAAAGAAAAAAATATTTTTAAAAGCCCATACAACGTGCGCCATGTTTCATACAACAATAAAAAACGCATTTGAGTTTGGAAGGGTTTCATGCACATAATCAAGCTTTCGCTGCTGAATTGTCAGCAAAAGAAAACACATCTTACCCAAGTTGTGAATGTGTTTGTATACTGAATTGAATGTGAAGACAAAAAACATTGTTTACCGCAAAATTATCACCTTCATACTGAGCTGTCTTCATGTCTCTTATTAACTTACCAGCTCTTTTAATGAATCACAGACTCATGAACTTACAAGCAGGCTATACTGGTTTAAATCATTTTTATGAATCATTCATTGAATGAACTCACTGAATCAGTCAGAGTAAATTAACCGACATCTGACTCACATATTTTCAGTGATGTTCGACTGTAAATGAAGCATTGGCAAGTTTTTCAAATTAAAGGTAATTTCGGAGGGGCTAGCAATAGCGAGCTAGCTTTGAAAGCATGAGATCCCGCCCTCCCTTCAGAGCGCCGCTTCCTTCAAAACAATGAACGCAGATTCAGCAAAGCTTCACAAGAGATGTCTTAAGCACATAACAGTACAATAAAAATGAACGTAAACAACTTACAGAGCTATTACTTGTAGCACCTGTCTGCTGTGGGTTCATTTTGCCAGTGTTGACAGGCATACATCCGAGTCTGAGGACGTGAACAGCTCTGGGTAGAATCTCACGGGTTGCCCTCTTGTACTTACGATTACAACATGGCGTGAACGCAGCAAAATCTTGTTGTTTTGGTTCAAGAGGAACTGTAAAAGGCGGCTGCTGTTTGTTTGCGGCGCTCGCTCAGTGACTGTTTATAACCCAGATAGCACTCTAAAAGTCTATTTGATGTGATGTTTACATCTGGAAGACGTATTTTTAAGAGTGTTTGGTCATCTGCAATACGTCTATAGGACGTTTCCTGTCAGACATCAAATAGACGTTTAGAAGATGTCAGTTTAACATGCATTCTAAAGCATTACATCTTAAAGACATCTTCTAAACGTCTATTTGACATCTGACAGGAAACGTCCTATAGACGTATATTGCAGATGAGCAAACACTCTTAAAAATACGTCTTCCAGATGTAAACAACAGATCAAATAGACTTGTGCTATCTGGGTACTGAACACGCTGATGATGTGTGACGTCTGCACGAGCAGGTGTGTATGGAAATACATATGTTGACAGGCAGGTAGGACATCCAATAATTGCATTCGGACCGAATGCAATGAATGTGGAGTCCAATCATTGGACGAATATTTTTTGGTACTGAGACTTCCACAGAAGATATATTTTTGAATATTTAGACCACTAATATTGCTTGCAGTTGTTTTTTGTTGCAAAGAGAATTGTCTCTAGTTCACAGTGGATTAACTGATGTTAACAACTTTTTATTTTAATAATGTATCGGTATGAGATTAACATTAACAATGAACAACACATCATTTATTGATCTTAGTTAGTTCACGTTAACTAATGAAGTTAACAAATAAAACCTTATAAAGTGTTACAAAAAATAATAATGGAAAATGTATATGTAGAAAACGAAATTCTAACTAGAAAATGTATTTTTTTGCAGTGCAGTACAAACATTGATTTGAAAGGTCTATGATTTTCTGCCAAGTTCATGCAAAGACATCCTTGTTCTCTCTAGGTATAAATCGGTACTAAAAAAAAAGCATAAAGTGTTGTGTGGCACAAACAAACCGTTCGGAGAGAACCAGTCTGGAGAGCACAGAGCTCTGTGGGTCATTTCCTGACGGTTCATTGGGGTCTCTCTAGCAACCAGTCCACCGGATCCCCGCTGGGTCTCTCATTGAAGTTCAATACAAACGTGCGAGTCAGTCGATGTCTGCGAGACAGCCACTGGTCATCTGAGGTTTAGCTCAATCTGTGTACGACTGATGCCTGGAAATAGCATGAGAAATGTACTTGAGGGTGTAATCGAATAGTTCTGCTGCTCTGGACAGCAGTCAAAACAGTCTCTTCTGCCAGTCTCTGTCCACTTGTGACTAAGGCAAACCAGAGTGTTTCTGTTGCAGCTCATGCACGCAGTATACAGACCTTAATCTTGATTTAAACACTCAGTCTGTTGTCTTAAGTGTTTATGGCGCGTTATTAAAACCAGAGAGGCCTGTAGAGTCAGTGACTGATGGCCCTATATGGAAAATCCACGCTTATTAATGTGCTGTTGACTGTTTTTGCCATTTCAGAAATGTTCTCCCTTAGCAGTCATATAAATTTGGTTTTAATTTGAGCAAGGAAAAGGAATGCGCGGCGCCATCAAAACAAGCGTCCGCTTCCTCAAAGCTCTTCAACGAGCCGACAGCGAATCGCATTCGAATCTGAGGGAACCGAATCTGCCGTTAAAAACAATCAGCAATTAAAGCCTGGCATGAGGCTTTGAAACAAGATCACAGACAGCCGCTATAAGAGACTATCATTGTGTTCTAACATTACTAAGAGTTTTCCTCACTCGCTAATGGAGAAAGTTTCCTAAATGAGCCCGCATGCCTCGTTACCCCAGACGGGCCGGTTTTGATGTTCCAGTTTTGAAAAGAGGAGAATGTACATTTTGTCCTTACATTTGAACTTTGTGTCGCAATACAATGCAAAATGGCATGTGCGCTACATTCACTAATGGAGGCAACTCCAGTCACAGGCCTAACTCATTATAATCATTCATGGGAACATGCTTGTGGAGGTACGGCGGCAGTAGGAACTGCACATTTCTCCTCTGCATGAAGGAAAAAAGCA